GCTATCAGGAACTGATTAATTTCAACTTGAAGATCATCAAAACAGATAACGAAAACCCGAAAGTAACAACAAAATTAACCTTATGTTGCCAGGTATTCCACTTCTCACTAGTGTTACATACTACGTATGTCGACAAATATAAATGAAATACATTACACATACAGGTAACGAATCCTTAATGGGACGAAACGCATGTTTTGAATTCCACTGCTGACCACTATCCAAAATAAATAACAAACTTTAGGTTCAATCGATCCATGATCTTGCGCAACGATTTACTCATTATCTGAGGTAGGTACATATCTCCACCCGACACATATTAGACTCTACTGGTCACGACTTCTTACTAGAACCCCAAGAAATCCATCTTAAAACCAGTCACTAGTAAGCACATGATGATTGTTATGAGAATAAGGGTTCGTGGAGACTGTCGTAATTTTAATAGTTGAACTCAATCTTTCATAGATGCACACTAATGTGGAGTCTCATAGTAGGAAAGAACGACCCTTCAGTACTTCCAGGATTCCAATGATAATCTAGCTTAGATCGATTCATGATTTCAACTGTGAAAATTACTACAATCTCCACGAATCCTTATCCTGATGATGAACTTCAGTTGAGTAAGTTGAGATACATGTTTGGAATGTAAACATGATATTATTTAAATCCGTTATAATTATTTCAACATTTAGTCATATACTGTAGGTAAAAGGAAGCCGTTCTTACCAATAATTGTATGCACAGTTAATGGATATGATTAGTAACGCTAACTGATCGAGCAAAAATTCTTGTAGACTGCTTTAAGCCATACTTCACACTTGAGAGCATGTCTCAAGTTCCCTTAGATGTATGCGGGAATATACTTCCCTTTGAGGTATTTAAATAAGAAAATGGATTAGGTGTAGTCTAGAATGCCTGTAAGTATGACTATAGGCTCTAAAGGACAACTGCTCAAAGCCAATTATATAGAGCTTTCTGGAGTGTAGTTCCCGATGTGTTATTTCCGGGCTTATAGGCACTTATAATGGGTGAACGACACCTTCCTTTCGTTGTAAGCATATAGTATTACTCTAGATGGTAGTTTGATGGAAGTACTGTATTACAGACATGTTCTTGTTCACCTGACCGCAGTGATAGATACAAACGAATCAGAATTAGTATGTTATCATCATTTTGCATTACATATCAAACATTCATATAAATCTCATTAAACGAAATTTGTCAGGTTTTTTGAAATTTTAATCATCATTATTATTATTCACGAGATCATTGATCAGAATGACTATATATGTGACGTGAATGTGTATATGAATGGTCCACCAGAGTGCTTCATACCTGCGTGGTTGCACCACAGGATTGAGCTGTACTATTCAGATTGTAGCATTAAAGCCTATACGGTGTCTGGTTATCCTGTGAAGCGGAATTAAGCTGTACTGCTCGGGTTAAGCCTGGGCGATATCTGGCTGTCCTGTTAAACGCGATTGATTTGGCTGCTTGGGCTGTCACTTGAAAGACTGGATAGTGTCCGGTTCTCCTGAAAGCCAATGTAAAATTACCCTAGCCTACAAGGGTATATTATATAACCATGAATAAACTGGTTGATCCTGCCAGTATTATTCCTATGCTTTCGATGCTCCTCCACAAGGAGTAACAGGAGTAGGTAAAAACACTATTATTCCATGCAACTTTAAAATGTTGTTTACAACCATCTGATTATAATTAATCTTTAAAGTTGAAAAAATGATAAATTCCTTATTCTACAAACATATTGGTGTTGATTTGCTCAAACTGAATAAGAGAACCATACCTAGGACCAGGCACACACATGCATCGGTCCAAGTTGCCACACCTCATTAGCACAACAAGATGAACACCAAATTCATAGAAGTAGTTACTTCAATGGTGTAATATATAAAAGAAAGATTGGGTATAAGGACACAGCACAGAAAGAAAGAATTAGTTCGTAGAAAGCAAGATATGAAGCGATTTTAATCTCATAGTTTAAAGGAAGACAGAGAGTGTATACATCGACGCCATTGTGACCAATTCTGAGCCATGTCATCCAGTCTCCAACCATTGGTTACGATAGTCACGTGGACCCCAACAAAGTAGTTTGTATCTATCAACATGGCTAAGACCAAGTTGAATACACCAGTTCAATGGAATATAGACCGTAAGTTGTGTTTTATTTGGGATTAGTCAATTGAATTTATCTGCATCTTGATGATCACGTTAAGATTTGAATCTAAAACCTTTCATTTCAAATACTAACTTATTCAGATAGCCCCTAGATCGTCTAATGTTTATGAATTTTATTGTAGCACACAGCATTTTTGATACCTTAAAAAAAATGAGTCTTTATTTCCTTACCACTTGGAGGTGACTCAAATGGTCTCAGGCTGAAACGAAAACTTAATGTAGAATTAAAACTTGACTGTTCAGTTTATTATAAATGTCTAAACAATTTAGTTAACAGTAACCAAACTTCAATTCCGCCTGTTGCCCCCCTGGGGCTACTGTCAGTCCCAAGCCCGTAGAAAACGAACTCGCTAAGAAAAAAACGCTAACCAGAAAACCAAACCTCAACAAGAGCTTACATTATGTAATAGGGTACTAATCTATATAATAAAAAAAATAAAGATAACTACCTACTTAGTGGAGGAGGAGAAGAAGGGAATAATTAGTACTCATAATTTTTAAGACCATGGGAGAATAAAGTACTGAACATGAATTTCCTGAACAGAGTTCGCATTTGATATAGTAAATCATTATAACCTCAACTATACACAAACTGCTCATCCAAACTTCTTTGAGACTTTTCTTTTTAATTTGTGGAGGATTTTGAACGAAGATTCATGAGATGGGGTGTGACCGAATTGACCATTTGTTTAAAAAGTAAGCTATTGATCTATTTGTATTGCACTTTAAATCATCATGCAGGGTCTTGTCTAGTAAATCAATCTACCTCCAATAATATATTTAGTTTGGAAATACCATTAGACCTGATGGCCAAGTGTCTAACAAAATCTCAGCACAGTTCCAGAAAACTCGGTTGGTGTTTGCCAACTTACATCACTAGTGGTGCGGCAAAATGCCAGTAAACCGAACAAAGGATGAATCAACTGTTCGGTTAAAAATTCATTCGAATCATTGCTCATGTGTATTGGATCTACCAATTGGACAATAATAATGTTAGATGCAAGGGACTCAACAAAGACGACACCTAGTGCCTCGACGTAGAATGCTGTCTCATGTAGAATTAAAGCGAGTGGACAACCAAACCAATATGTAACACCAGTCTGTAAACCAACTAATAATTGGACTGAGCTATGTAAATTTGCGTAAACTATCTTGGTGGGGTCCGCATGATTATCATGATCAATAGTTTGTGCAATATGACTCAATATTGTAAGCAATGAATCAGGTAGTTACTTTTTGTTTTCGCTCAGATCAGGAATTAGGAACCTTCCAATATTTTCTTCGATACCCAATCATTCCTACTAACACTGATATTTGTCTCTATAAGTTCATTTCGCAGTGGTAATATGATTTACCAACCTGGGCAGATCAACAAATGTTCCACATTGTGTTGCATACAACCTGTTCATTATAAGTAGATATGAAACATAATCATTACAGAGTCTCACTTTCAAACACAATGTAAGACTGACTTCAAACTTATTCCTTTACTAATTACTTTGACTTGATTGACCAGATGATATCACGAGTATAGATACATGAACAATCGAAAGTGAAATGCTTACAGGCAGAAGGTTAAGAAGATAAAAAAGTGAATGATTAATGTGGAAATGAAGGAACAGTGAAGTCTAAGACGATTGATTAAGATATTACTAATGAACTACTTACTATATGGTTTTCAGATTTGACTTAGAGATCCTGTAATTGTGTATTCAAATACATTTGATTATCCGCGCCTGTAATCTCGTTCACTATGATTGTTTTTATACGAATGAATAATATCAAAACAAAATCTCTTACTGTTACTGTGTTGTGTGCTACTGAAGTCAACAGATATAAGTAGTATGTATCATCAATCGTATGTGAAATGTTTGGTCACAGAAGGTTAAGAAGATTGAAAAGAAGAGAATGATTAGTATGGAAATGAATGAACAATGAAGTGTGAGACGATTGATTGACAGTTTGTAAATGAAGTATTTACTGTATGATTCTCAGATGTCATTTTGTATTCAAATACAACCACTTGTTCCCATTTTGTTTTCTCGTTCACATAATCACCTAAATGGATGGTATGTTAAAATGTGGATTTAAAATCTTTCTATGGAATACAATTTTAGCAAATTAAATTAATTATAAATACGATTGTACAGCTGAATGTTTCTTCGCTGAATCGCCTTCTTCTTCTTCAGTGAATGTAATTTCACTCCTACATCCATCGAGTTATTGTTGTAGTGTGTGTGCTATTGATGTCAACAGATATAAGTAGTATGTATCATCGATCGTAAGTGAAATGTTTGGTTGCAGAAGGTTATGAAGATCAAACAAAAGAGAATGATTGATGTAAAAACGAAAGAGCAACAAAGTTTGGGACAATTGATGAATATTTTACAAATGAAGTATTTACTGTACAGTTCTCAAATTTCGCCAAGTTGTTCTGTAATTTTGTATTCAAAATACATTCAATTGTTTGAGATCATGAACCGATTGATGTTAGACCACCGTTGGAAACATGGAAGCACTGTACAGCCTTCTCGTCATATTTCGGGATTCCTCAGCAGTACGCCTCCACGATCCCACTCACGGATTCGAACCCATGGCCTTCAGTCTCACACGCGAACGCTTAACCAACGGTGGTCTAACATCAACCAGTTCATCATCTCAATCAAGAACTTAATCATCTCTACAACCCCTATACTGAACATTCAATTGTCCCCCATTTGTGTTCTTATTCATTACACGATCTTTGAAATGATCAAACATTGAAAAGACAACACCTTATTGATATCTATATATATATATATATATATATATATATATATGTTCACAATGTTTACTACAAAAGAAATTGGATCATCTTAGCAATAATTAAATCGAATAATTACAACATCACTATACATACATACATACACGTACATGTATCAATTTAGTTAATCTCTGCTTCTTTTTTAATAAATCGAAGAAATAAATAAATAAATAAATGAACAGAACAGAACAAAGAAAGAGAAAAAAAGCAGGGAGGAGGGAAAACAAAACAAAAAAAAGAAAAGAAAAAACAGTCACAGTAACTATGTCTATATATATATTATAGTGATTATTATTTTATAATCATCATATTATCAGAAACCTTTACTCAAATCACAAATAACACATGCACATACAATGAAGGCAATAGAAGGTTGTTTTTCTTTTTCTTTTTTTAGAAAAAGAAACAATAATAAAAACTATATATATATATGATTACTATGATTAAAAGGTTAATTTGGCGGCGGGGGGGTACAAACAAACAAACAAACATTGTAAGCATAGCAATTCATAATGTATTATTTCTATTAACCGGTAATGAATTACAATTATATATGGTAAATTTTATGTAAATTAAATTTTAAAGGTAGGAGATGAGTACATGGGTAACATACACAAACACATACATACATACATACATACACACACGCACAAGCATTTACATTATACAAAGTTTCGAAATGAAAAGAAAAACCCAAGAAAATCAATATTGTTTATCCTGCTCCCACCCCTTTTCTCTCTCTCTCTCTCTCTTTGTACTCACTTTCAATACATCCTCATTATAATTAATGGACGATAAATACACAGTTGATTTTGAGCTCAAATGTTTGTAATATATAAACTAGTATGAATATATACATCTTAACTATCATTACCTATTCGTTGAAATTCAATTCAATGAGAAGATCTATTCAACGGATCGATAAGTTGTGCCTTAATCAATACAACATTCATTGTTCCTATAATATTGAACAAGTCTTTCTAATGTGAAATGAAAACATCTCTTCCTTCATCATAACAATTCAATTAATCTGTACAGAAGAAAAAAGAGAATACAGAGAGATTTGCAGAATTTTAAGGAAGAAAAACTGACAGAAGAATAGAATGATAAACGGAGAATGGCAGAATAAGAAGGACAGGAACAATTACTTCATATATATATATATAATTGTGAATGGTGTATCTATCTACACATACATATACAATAGTAGAATATACTCAACTACACACTTACACATACAGACCACTTTTTTCTTCATATTGAGAAATACATTAGAATTACAAATTTTGTAGTTTAAAATTTATTTACCAATACATTGTCCCCCGTACCCCCCCCCCCCCCAAAAAAAATTATACAACATGAAATCACTGAATATATGTTATATAAAAGACACTGAGGGGGATAGGAGGGGGGTGGAAACGATGGGATAGGGATTCATAAAAATATATAAAATAAAAGCCTAAAATCATCAAATATTATAAATAAATAAATAAATTTTATTTGTTTTCTTCTTCTCTCTCTCTCTCTTATTGTCCAATGAAAGAAAATTTTCCCATGTTATCATCATCAGAGTAGTATGTTGTATGGTATGGGTATTGGTGATTAGATTCCTCTTTTTGCAGAATATAATAATATATATCACTAAATAAATGTGTGTTGTTTTGTATACTCTGACTCCCTCCCTCCTCTATTTATTCATATCTTTGTATTGTGACATTTTTTTCTCCACTTTAGAATAATGTGCACGCACACACACGCACAGGCACATTGTCAGTATCATATATCTACAATGTCAGATAGTAACTATTCATGATAAAGAGGAAAAAAGAACCACGAACAAATAAATAAATAAATACAAGGCATATAGAATAATATTGACTATTATTTGATGTTTCACAATCTTTTTCATCTCTTGAGCACATATAGAAAAATATTTATTTATATATTACAAATAAGAGATAAGGAGGAGAGTGGCAAACAAATATATGTATCTATCTATACGGTATATCATGATGAGAAGAAACAATAAAAAAGAGAAATGAAAACACAGGGAGGAGGAGGAGGAGAACAGAAACAATGAAAGCCAATCAATCAACCACAGAATGAATGATATACATTAACATATACGAGCAAACTAAGTCATTATACAGACGAAGAAGTTTCTACTTTCTCTCTCTGTGTGTGTAGGGGGATGTGGGAGAGAGACAGAGCGGGGAGATGAACGCAATAGGTAGATGGGTACCAGTAGTATGTAATCGAGGATATAATAATAAGTAAATAAATGAATAAATAAATAAATAAATGTTTACATAATATCTTTTGGCGCTGTAATATAAAAATGACCAAATAAATAATTATTATATGTATAGAATAAAATGAGAAAAGGTATTGCATAAAACCAGAATGAACAAAATAACACTGGTGTACTATTAGTTACCATGATTTATAACCATGTTGAACAATAATACATAGATAGATAGATGGATGAAATGTGATCAACACATATACATACAATGAAAAACAACCGGTAAAAATCTATCATAAAATAAGCATTCACAGTATTTATAGAATGTGAATTATATGTATACCTTCAATGAATGAATGTATCAATCAATTGTAGCAACCGGGTAATATAACGCTTACATGGATATAAGTAGGAGTAGTAAGGGGCAATAAGTAGTAAATGTGTATATATTTTTAAAAAAATACCAGATATAATTGTGTACAATAAAGAATGAAGAGAAATCGTTAATGAGAAAGGCTTCGAAATACATATACAAACATGTAGAAGAAAGTAAATAAACAGAGAGAGAGGTTAAGAGACTACACATAAGATAGCACAATCCTTACAATTCCTCTTCAGCACCATCGCCAACGTAATGATGTTGTTTCTGTCCACAAACATACATACATACATACATATATGCATTAAAGGATGCAATACATAGTCCAAGTGGGAATAAACGGGAAATAATGGAAATATACATTTTACACCTGATATTTTTCACTGTACACACAATCGTAAACAAATAAGACACTGTAAACTATAGGAATCCAATGACGTTTCTAGAACCACAATGACAAAATTGTCATAATAGCGGTATCAGTTAAGTCGATGTCGATTTATTTGAGAGTTTGAAAAAAAAGAGCAACTGCACCAACTCTCTCTGTCTCCCCCCCGCCAACTTTTCTGCAAAGGTTCACGGTAGTTGAGTGATGAGCACATTCACCGATAGAACAAAAGCATATATTGTTCAATTGTAAAAATAGGCATATTCAATTATATGTCAGAGTATTGAAAGAAAAAGAAAAATGATGAAACAAGAAAGTAAACAAATAAGAATAACGATAATTCAAAAGAAACTATGAAATAAACACCAAAATAAAAGAAAACAAGAAGCCGCACAGACATTGATAAAAACACAGACACACACACACACAGTGTAAAATGCAATCATGATCGGTTCATATAACAAACAATAAATAGTAAATAGGCAAAATAAAGTCATCAAATCGTTAGAATTGAATGCATAAAATAACTAGATAAATGTTGCTTTTAAGAATATGGTTTCCTCTGAAAATATAAGAACAATTATAAAAAAAACACTGTTGTATACTCAAACAACTGACAAAGAGAAGAAAAAAATTCCCTGTGAATAAGCAAATAAGCAACATATATGTATATTATAAACATATACACATATTTGTGTACATCATCACACGAAGAAAGGAAGGGGGCACTCGAAGCACACTCTCTTTCACATATATATATAAACAAACAAACATTTCTAGTTGTGTAACGAGAAAGCAGATGCTGTCGACGACATCGGTACAGTATTATTATTGGTCGTATGACTATGAAACGATGATATGGTAGAGGAAGATGATGATGATGACGAACAAGAAGAGGAGGAAATAAATTGAGATGAAGACGGTGATGAGGAACAATGATGATGATGATGATGATTCAATATTGCGCATTGATTTATACAATTACGATTATTTGTCAATAATAATTCATGATTTGTACAAGTTGGTAGAATTTGTAAACTAGTCGATGAGTCTAAATCATCAACAGACAATGGAGTGAAACTAAAACTATGCAAATGATTAGTTGGTAACGTGGAATAACTACTGCTATTATTATCAGTAATGGTAGTAGTTAATCCATTTGTTTGATGACAATAGCTCAATGGTGTTATATTATTGTTTTGTTCGCAACTGACAATACCTCCTACAGAGACACCACTTACTAATCCACTGACTCCGCCACAACTGTTAGGTGTATGAAGAAAGTTAAATGTTGATGAAGTAGAACTACCAACAGGAGTTATTGGAAATGGTGAACCACATACAGAACCATTAACTAGGCTTCGATAAAAACGTTGAGCAACTTGACTTGATGGACCTTAAAGAAAAAAAAGCATTAAAAAACAGAACTACATAAATGTGAAGCATAGATAGTAGAAAAAAAGTGGACATGTGCCCATCATCAATCTGGTAGTATGATTCTGTAATCCAGGAGAAGAGACAACTGCTTGAGATTGGTTGCACATAGCCTTTTCGAGGTAGTTCTTAATTTATCGACTCGATATACGTACCTATGAGGCCTTCCTACCAGCAACGAAGTGAACAATGTGAGATATATTATTTTTACAACCTACTTTTTCTAGACCTCCGTTCCTTACGTTATGTGATGGCAGTATCAGGTGAGGGACAATCATACGCTTAATATACTCAACAATACGATGTCATCCCTTAAACCTTGAATTTGAATCTTTTAGTCTAATTGTCATTCAACCTGGATTCCTCGAACAAGTATCTCAGATAATATAGCCTGATTACATCATCATAACACACTACCTCAACTATACAACATAAAAGTAATAGCTAATAATTACACAGAGTTAGATAGTGGCTATCAGTGCAATCCGAGACGCACCTTTTACCCTGCATCGACAACGGAGAGATTGAAACACTTACAACTGAATTATAGTACATCGTTGTTGCAAATGCCAGTGACTTGTCTAACTAAACTCAAAAAGTCAATAAACAACACAGTGGTCATTTGAATTGAAAGATACTAAGTTCGAGTTCCGATTTGAATATCAACACTATTAAGTTGCAGTAACATCTAGATATTTTAGTCTTAAAAATAAAACAAAACACAATTCGTTGATTCCATTACTAAACACTATCGAATTCAGGTAGGTAGGTTATAAGTGTAAATGGTGAATATCCAATTGATCCATTCAGAATGTAGACTATCACATAACAATCATGGGAAAGTTGAAGTCAATCAATTGTGATTACATCTCAGTCCTACAGGAGGTTAGTCACGGCTCGGATAGCTCAGTGGTAACGTCTCTGACTGTGAAGCTGGGTGACACGAGATCGAATCCGCCAGGGAGCACCGGTTCCCTCAAGATTACAGGTACACCTTGCTGACGAGTGCCAAGTAGCACGAAACCCGGGTCCAGGGTTTCCTGTTGACTACCTCCAACCACCATCTAATCTCAATACATAGTGCCCGCAGTGCCGAGTCACCTAGACTGGTGGCCACATTGCAACATGATCGATAGCATTCGATCTGCACTAATAAGGACTAGACAAGCATGAGATTGATCACCACCCAGTGATCAATCAATTGTGAAAATTGAAGTCCGTCCAACCAGACAATCAATGAATCGTTGATATTATTGATCATTCATTTTTCTTTTACTCTACTACTACTACTTCATTAATGAATAATATTTTATCATGAAAAGAGATAGAAATCTTAGTGATTAGTTTATAATAATAATTATCATGTAATACATCTCTTTCTCTCTCTCTCTCCATATCTATAATCTTAAGGCATGACTCAGAATTACATTCCATATGACTTATACAATTTACATTGCATATTTAGTTTATTCATCTTATACATCGTTTTATGAGTTTCTATGTGTTATATATGGATGTATTTTTGTCTGCTGTTTCCATTCCATCTACCTGCCTACCTACCTACTTACCTACCTACCTTCAGAACACGTACTGCTTTTTTGCTTTCTTTCTTTCTTTCTTTCTTTCTACATTACATTCATATATCAATCATATAGCAGTAAATAAATGGATTCTTATAAGATTTTCTACTCACATGTTTATACATGTAATGTTATAATATGTGTATATATATATATTTATGATAAATTCAATAATATTATATCACCACCCCCACTAGAGGTGAACCCTCTCCCTCTCCTCTCTCTCTCTCTCTCTGTCATGAAATGTTTATCGATTAATGGTGTGATTACTAATGAAAAAAAAGATGTAGACTAACTCATTGTTGTCATAGGAACTTATTATTTGAATGTTAATTTTTTTTTAAGAAAAAAAACAAGCTTAGGTGCCTTTGTGTTCCTGTGTCTATGTGAACTCTCCCTCCAATCACAACCACCCACACACATACACACACATACGCACACAAACTTATATACACAAATCTATGTGTGTGCACCAATCAATCATACTAATCTAGTTGTTTCATTTTTTTTCTCTTATCTGTTAAATTTTTTTCTGTTGTTGAAAACTTCGTATGATACTTCGATGCTGTTAATAATTAAAGTAATTTACCAATTACGAATGAACTAATGTGATTTTTTTAAATTTTTTTTCAGAGAAAAACAAAACCCAATAACAATAGTCTCCAATCAATGAAGACACCAAGAGAAGAGATTAGAATGCAGAGAGAAAGAGAAAGAGAGAGAGAGAGAGAGAGAAGATTATGATATTCAGCAAAGATTAAATTGGAATGGAAACAAATTTGTATAGAGTAAAACAAAACATGACCTTGGGAAATATATAAAAGTTAGAAAGCTGATGATGATAACCAATTAGAAAACAGTAATTGTTATACAGAAACATAAATGAGATGAAATCATCACAGGATTGTCGTTACAAAGAAGCCCTGACCAGTGGAGCTAATCCGTGTCAGGCAGAGACAGGTATCGATCTCAGTACAATGGAAAATGGTCGCGTAATTACGTGAATTGGTTGAAATAAGACATTAACACCAATGGATGCCGGTTCAGTGGTCAAGAAGTTAAGCGTTTGCGTGCGAGACCGAAGATCCTGGATTAGAAATAATTTTAAAACTGAAGATTGAAGGAGAAAGACTAAGTGTCGTGAACACTTCTATATCAACATCTCTAACCATTTGTTACAATAAACACGTGGATTGTTCAACCCATCCCAACTACATAAACTATACAGTTATATAATATACCCTTGTGGGCTGGGGTAATTTTACATTGGTTTTTAGGAGAACCGGGCACCATCCAGATTTTCACGTGACAACCAGAACAGAGCAAGGAGGCACCAGATAATACATACGAGTCATACAAATCCCGTTTCATTTGTGTGAGGGCTATGATACTGCCCGGGTGCCCAGACTTAAGCAGATGGATTTCTTAGGGGGCCACACTCAGAGCCTTCGACCTGAAGGTCTGATACACAAGGCAGTGGACGCAGTCCCATGGTAGCCGGTGACCAACGATTGGTTCATGCGCCATTTGTTCCTTCAGGATACGGGAGTCCATATGCACCATTAGTTCGGAATCAGGGTTTTCCAACTCCTTTAGGTGGACTCTCCGTATCCACCAACCCGGTTAAAGCGCCGGACATTCGCTTTTCGTCCTATCAATTTCGTAAACGACACCCCCGCCACGAGAAGGCAGTGAGTAGGACTTCCCTGGTAGAGGCTATATACGCATGGCCATGTGAGAGCATTTCGAAAGGGAGAGTGGACTCTCCTCATCCAAACTTTCACGTGACAACCTAAACAATATAGTTTAACAGGAGAGCCAGACACTACACAGGCTTAAAATTTGTAGCCCAATCCTGATTCACAGGAGAACCAGACATCATATATGCTTTAACGCTACAATCTGAATAGTACAACTCAATCCTATGGTGCAACCACACAGGTATCAAGCACCCTGGTGGACCATTCGCACCATTTATATACACATTCACATCACATGTTCTAGTTTATTTGTTACAAAAACTATAACCTAATGTTAATATTTATGATATACAATGAAAAAAAAATAATTATATAATATTGACTTACGACTAGCACGACTACCTGTACGTGATTGTTGCATTCCATATTGTTGAGCCATGTTAGCAAGCATATCAATCAACTCTTGACTAATCTGAAAATTGACAAAAAAAAGTTGTTGTTTTTTTAGAAAAAAATTATATTCAATTACATCGGAATTTTCTTTTACTGGCATCAGTGCCTGAAGTCACTAACTTCTAGTCTGAGCCATGTTGGTAGATGCAGACTACTTGGTTGGGGTCCGCGTGACTTTCGTAACCAATGGTTGGAGACTCTTGGTGACATGGCTCAGAATCGATCACAATGGCGTCGGTGTATACACTCCCTGTCTTCCCTTAAACTAAGAGACTAAAATCACTTCATTCTTTCTGTCTACGAACTAATTCTTTCTTCCTATACTATATCCTTATTGCAACCTTTGACCTAACCACTCCTATGAATCCGCTGTTCATCTTGCTGTGCTAATGAGGTATGGCAACCTGGACCGATGCACATATGTGCCTGGTCCTACGTTGTAGCTGACTGACTTAATACCTTTCATTAAGTAATCAAATGAATAGAAATTCTTGAACATGAAGAATATTATTAAGTGATTATTTCGTTGTAAGATATTTGGACATTAGACACTGAACAATCAAACGAACTTCAATGAGATGATGCAAAGATCAAAGCTGAATAATTATGGCAAATCTGGAAGTGTTATACATCCATTTCATTCTTCTTACAAATTTCTTCAACCTAGAACAAAACCTATGACATTCAATGTTTGATGCGAATGCCTAAGCCTAAGTTCAATCCATCCGCAATATTATGAGACCATCTACTACTGTATTCTGTGAGTACATTCCGCATATATAATAGGATTGAACTTCAATAGTTTAGAGATTAAAGATTCGTTAAAGAAACCAAAGGTCCATAGTCTGATTCTCAATGAAGTGGTTGTGGATGTGCATTGTTGAAGAGTCCTATACTATGACAAAATGAATATCCTTTATCAATGAACTATTTTAATTAGCCCAATATGTTCAAGTGAATGATGTTTTACAGTAACACTTATTACAAGTACTATCTTTCAAAATCATTGATTTGCTTTCATAAAGTACACAAAAAAAAACAGTACTAGGTTAAACCATAAAATTACTATGATCTGTTGATATAAAACAGATGACAGAATTTGAAGTAACCCAAATACAATCAACACATATCTTCGTCAATCAATATAACTAAGAATGTTTCTTTGAAAATCAACCACTTGAGTTCATATAATACTTAAGGCTTTCATTTATACTTTGTGTTTTTTGAGCAAAGAGACTAATGCCCGCGAGCAAGAGAACACAGAGACGAATTCAGTGTCAAATCGAATCAAGGTGCAGCTAGATAAGGCAAAGGCAATTATTAACAATCCAGTACATATATTTATATGGGAAAGAGAATGATTCATCAAGAAATATTGAAGCAATTTAACATTTAAGGTAGGTTGAAGGATATGTGTGTAGGCTGTTACATGTGATTAAGAATACACGTTTATACAAACACGACAGTGATCATAAAATAATACAAATAAATAGAAACATTGTTACTATCCGAATAACGCTGTCAGTTAAATAAGTTAATTGAAGGATTTGACCATAAACAAAATTAATTGTAAGAGAGTTGCTATGAATTAAGATACATGTCTGTGAATTTGTGGATCATCAGTTTTTTGTAATATTCAACTTGAATCCAGTATTAAGTATTTCCTGGCAATTCCCTGTTTTCAGAATTTTGTAGAGATTTTTCACAGATTGAAATCATGAGTCGATTGAAGCTAGACCACCATGGAAAACCTGAAAGCACTGGACGGCCGTCTCATCCTAGCATGGGACTCCTCAGAAGTGCGCAACCACGATCCCGCACCCCGCGAGATTCGAACCCAGGGCCTAACAGTCTCGCGCCAAGCGCTTAGCCTATTAGACCACTGAGCCGGCATCGTGGATGCGCACTGCTGAGGAGTCCCATACTAAGACGAAACGGCCGTCCAGTGCTTCCATGTTTTCCATGGTAGTGCAGCTTCAATTGACTCATGATTTCAATCTGTGAAATTACCTGTTTATTTATTATCAAAGTGCCGCGTACAAATATAACACCATGATTTTCACCGAACATTTCAAGTTCTAACTTTCATTTAAGTTGTGTATCTTTTTTTCCTTTTCATTCAAAAAGTTGGAATCTGTTACAGTGGTGTAGGGTGTTCATCGAAGACATACCTAGATAATTCTAGATAATTAGAATCAAATGTTTAGTGAAAATTACACACTATACGCAACATTCACTAACTGAATGAACGGGAAAAATGCTTGGGAATGCTAGATATTCCATTTTTATTGCACATTGAAAATCGGATAGTTCATCTTACAATTAAATTTCACAGTTCATATTACAGCCTCATTTTTGTTAAACAACTTGCTTCCAAATGCCCTGAACGACCGAAAGTGGAGACAATCAACTCTTCCTCTCCAAATGTTCTCACATGGCCACGTGCATTCAACGACTGCCAGGAGAGTCCATTCACTGCCTTCTCGTGGCATTACTGTTGTTTACGAAATTGAGAGGACGAAAGCGAATGTTCGGTGCTTCAACAGGGTGGGTGGACATGGACTCTCCACCTAGTGGAGTTGGAAAAGCCTAATTCCAAACCAATGGTGCACATGGACATAAGGATAATAAGGGAACAAATGGCTTATAAACCTATAATTGGTGACCTGCTAACACGAGACTGCGTCTCCTGACATTGCTCCACTGCCTTGTGGATTAGGCCTTTAGGTCGAAGGCTCCGGGTGTAGACCCCTAAGAAAACCACCTATTTCGGTTTGGGCACCCGGACAGTGTCACAGCCCTCACACAAATCGAATGATTTGTGTGGCGCATATCTGTTTGATGCCTTCTTGTATCTATATTTATGTGTTTAAATAAATATGAATTCCGCAATAATGTGAATCTATAAATTTACCGGAAGTCCCATACTAAAACAAAATAGCTGTCCAGTACTTCTTGATGATTTTCAATAATAGTGTAACCAAAACCAGTCTATGATGAAAATTATGTAAGTCATGTATCATCATCAACAACAACAACACAAACCATTCCTAATACAATAAATAAATGTAACTTACTCCTGAAGCCGGTGAATTACGAAGTAGAGTAGCCAATTCATGCATTGATGATTCTTGTGGAGATGAATCTTTCCTGCTCAAACTGTATTCACCAATGTTGTTATTAATATTATTATTATTATCATCATCATCATTCATAGTACAATTAACATTAGGTGATAATTTAGGAATAATGTCTAATGTTGCATGATCATCAGTAAATGAATTGATTTCATTCCGTAATGAAACTGTTGATGTTGTTGTTCTTACCATTGGTCCTGATAAAGGTGTCAAAAGTTTTCTTGACGATGATGATAATGATGATGATGATGATGACATTAATTTAGGCGGTGGTGGAGTCAATGGTTGTTCATCACCAATCCCCATTCTTAATGATTTCCTAGTTATCGATTTATTTGAATAATTCCATTCATTATTACCATTTAATGAATTATTTTTATTAGATTGACCAATATGATTTTGATGTATATTCGTTATAAAATTACCATTAATATGATTATTTTGATGATTATGATTATGATGATGTGAAAATAAATCCACTGAATCTTCATTTAATGCATTAACATCTATATGTGGAAGACTACAAGCTGATACACTTCGTCGTGAATTATTAACTGGAGTTGAACTGAATTGTAAACAAACAAACAAACAAATAAATAAATAAATAATAATAATATAAGCAAAGATGGATACTGGCGAGCAGTGGAATACAGGACGCGCGTTTCGTCCTGTGTTGGGGACTCGTCAGCTGGATGTACCTGCATCTCAGAGTTGATGTTCACTCTGGGACTCGAACTCAGTACCATTCGCTTCAAACGCCATCGCGTTATCCACTTAGCTACTGAGTCCTGATAGCCACTTGCTTGTGCAATGGGGTGAAGTTTAATTCACTTGATATTGTTTTACTTGAATCCATCTTTACTTATAATGCTTGTAAATTAAGGCAATATCGAGGCATACGCACAGTATGCACATATGCCAATAAGAGACTAATCAATTTCAGTCCTAAAGAAAACATCAATGGGAAGATTCAAGTAAAAACCATATCAAGTGAATAATAATAATAGTTGCTAAGTATTGTTACCAAGGTTTAACTTGATAATTTTAAATAAACTAAGTCTTGAATTGAATGTTATCAATAAAAATCATACATTTGTAAATAATTCAATGAGTAGGAAAAAAAATTAGATATTCTGATGTTTCGTCACTCAATGTAAGTCAATTCTTCAAAGAATAAATAACTAAATTGAAGAATATAATGTATTATATATATTGATTAATTATTGTTTGAAGAAACGACTTATACTGAGTGACGAAACCTTAGAAAATCTAATTTTTCTTCTACTCATCGTGATATTTACAAATGTATGATTTTTATTTATAATAATAGTTACTGTTTTGAGTAAAGGATATGGAAATTCACGAACCATTAATATGAATTTAAGTAAAATTAGGATTATAAGTTGAATATGTGAACAACTGATCTTAGTTGAGAAATTAATGACTACAGGTATGCTAAACATAAATGACAGTCCTCGCCGATAACTCAACCGGGAACAGGACCCAATAACTTCAGATTTTACGGCAAATGTTTAACTACTGAAGTCGTTTTTATCTATTTATTTTATTTAAACACATAAACATTGGTACAAAGAGGCACCAAATAATTATGTGAAAGCCAACATACTGCGTGGATGCCCAAATCGAAGTGGGTGGTTTTCTTATGGATCCACGCCCGTAGCCCTCAACCTAAAGATCTAATCCACAAGACAGCGGAGAAACGTAAATATATGTAGCTCATTGGTAGCCGGTGACCGACAATTGGTTCATATACCAGTTGTTTTCTGAGGATCCTGGAGACGATGTATATCACTGGTTTGGAGTCATTATTTGTTAGGATATTCGGAAAAATATACTAATAATTATCATGTTAAGCCTAATAGTGTCCTTGGACTCTAAATGGACATTCCCTATTGGTCAGTATTTATTTCACTTGTTAAATATTGTGCAAATGTTGTTTTTTATTTTATGGTACGATGTGGTCTGGTTGATTGGTATATAAACATAGTATGTTTGAAATATAACGATTCATATCTCAGAGGCTGAGACTTATGTTCTGGACTTAACTGCCTGGGCCAGACAGCGAAGTAGGGCCAATCGGGACTCTAGGTCGTTCGTGTGTGTTTTACGTATCATTGATCTGGTCGATAAATACGCTGTCCATCTAATCTCCAGTCACATGCCACAATAGTATTTTCCAACTCCCCAAAGTAGATCCTCCATATCACCTAAAGTCATTAAAACAGTGTCCGAATAGTGTTCAAACCTCACGAAGCGGGATTGTGAATGCACACTGCTGAAGAGTCTTACACAACAGGATGAACCAGCTATCCAATGCTTCCATCAGATTTTCCATGATGATCTATCTTCAATTGACTCATGAACTCAACTATTAAAATTTAGATATCAACTAATAATATACAATAATGAATTTAAAGGTCATGAAGAGGGAAGCATAAATACGTATGTAGATAAAAACAACCAAGCATACCTGAACTTTATATCATAGATACAACTAATTAAATTAACTAAATAGCTTGTAAAAAAAAAATTTTTTTCTTCAATTATATGTAGAAATCTGTACATAAATAGAAAGAAGAAAAAAATATATAACTAATTTCCTGTGTGGGTTGATGTAAGGAAATAGTTTGACCATTCGATACAGAAAAAAAAGGGAGAGAGAGAGGAAGAGAGGGGGGAAATACCGAATCAATAGATTCATAATGATATCAGTAAAGTGTTCAATTACTTGAGGTGGAGGAATGGGGGAGGAAGATTAGAAAGACACAAATCACAATAGGGATAATTTAAAAATAGTTAGTATCTATGATAATTCATTTCAATTAAGAATTACACTAACAATCTACCATTCCCTAATGGAAGAGTAATAAGGGATACACATGAGTAAATATAATAATAATAATACATTCTATCTTATTCCATTTACACAGAACAAAAAGATCAAAGCATTTAGATAAATTCAAATGTGTATAATACTTTAGTGTAATAGTAATAATAAAGCATAATGGTAGCCTATTAGTGGTTAAACTATAACCTTGATAATAATTAAAATTTATAATTATCTCGATATTTAATAAATTAGGAAGGTTTGTTTTGCTTAATTCGATTGTCATAATTGACTATATATATATACTTATACTCACTGACTCGTTAATCAAAGATGGTTTACAAAATTCAGAGGGTAAAAATTGAATATTCGACGATTAAATTGAGTTGCTGCGTAAAAAGAATTCATCTAGGTAAATTGATAAAACCTAATACCTTAGAATTATTGCTCGCATCTGTTAGAACCACTGGGTAAGTAATAGTGAGATTAGACGACAGGGTATTAGGCAATGATGGTAAATCAGTTGATGAGGTTGTGAATCTTCATCGACTGAGATGGTTGGGCCACGTGTTACACGTATGTCTGAACACTGGTTACCACGACGCGCAATGTTGATTAGTGTAGGGGATGGTTGGAAGAATGTTAGAGGCGACCAAACCAAAAACGTGGCATCAGTGCTTGAAGTCGCTGACTTCTAGTCTGAGCTATGTTAGTAGATGTAGACTAATTGGTTAAGGTGACATAGCTCAGGACCTACCACAATAGTGTAGGTGTGTACACTCTTTGTCTTCCCTTAAACTATGAGATTAAAATCGCTTCAAACAGACACCCAACTCTGATAAATCTATGAGATACTATTTAACATTATGAATTACATTTTATTATTGATCTCTTCTCTGGGTTTTACTGTGTGCATTGCTTCTTCTTGTGTTAACGAGACTATAGCCTTACCTATAATCTGGATCTTAGTTTTCAGTAGTGAGTATCATGGTCTAGTGTGCCCAGTTGTATTGTCCAGTTTAATCTAGTACTGTCGTACATTTGTATTGAGCCTAGATCTGTTTGTTGTTTTTGCCTTCATAACAGTAACCAACTATTTGATTTCATGAAATTAAATCCAGAATGTTTGTGGACAAATCAAAACTTGGCAGTAGTTCATGAAATCATTAAATGTTAGTCTGTGTCATGTTAGTAATTGAAAACTGCCTCGTTAGAGGGTCTGCATCATCAGTGATATAGTTTAGAATTGTTCACAATGTCACAGATGTATCGGCGAGACTATAAGATAACAGGTTCCGAATTTTGGCACGAAATTCACTCATCCATTTCGTTTAATAGAGTTTTAACATTTAAACTGATGTGATGAAAACATTAAATCAAAGTCCTAACCTTAACAATCAACTATAAATCATAATTCTAATTTCTTACACTGATTTATAACCCTCATTTATTCTTAGTTATTAGATGAACACTCTCAAGATCACTTTAGCGTCGCTCAAAGGTCGTCCATAAATTATAGTCTCACCAATATATCCACTTCATATCTTCGTGTCATTCTTGAGTTCCAGTAATCCTTCATGTATACCTTCTCATCCTATCTTTTCAAACTATATTCCTTTTTATCTTTACTGTTACAATATTTCGATCTTTGTTTTTTTTGTTATTTTCATATCGTTGTACTAATTAGGTACAATAACTTGGGCTCAGACTCCATGTTGATAATAATGTCATAGAATTCGGAGCTCATTAATGAAATAAAACATTGAAGTATGGTATAACAAAATTCTATATCACATAGATATATTGTAGTATTCTATTATGTTTCCTAGAATTAATAAACAACAATGGTATTGTGTGTTAAAATGACCTTGAAGAAAAACAAACAAGAAAGTGAACAGAATAGAATAATATGCCCACTACCACTAATAATAATAATAATACCACTGGATATGGTTTATCAACAGACTACAGATAATTAACCTTTCATTGTGCTAAAAATACAATTTGCAAGAAAAAAAAGTGTATATACAAATACTGTGATAAACCGTAACAGAAATACTTTGATTATAGTTCATGCAATTGGTGCCTAATAGTAGTAGTAGTAATAATAATAATAATAATAGTGAAACATGGGAAAATGTTTACAGAAAGTCCCAGAGAAACAACCTTTTGAAAGAAAAAAGTACCTATCTTCATTCATCTTATATTCAAAAATGAAGAGATTTCGAGTGGGATCGATAAAAGGATTAAAGCAGAACTAAAAAAACTAGTATCTTTACAGTTCAATGGTGTAGGTGTATACACTCTTTGTCTTCCCTTAAACTATGAGATTAAAATCGCTTCAGATCTTTCTTTCTACCAACTAATTCTTTCTTCCTGTACTATATCCTTGTATGTAATCTTTCTTTTATATATTACCACCATTGAATTAACTACTTCTATGAATCCGGTGTTCATCTTGTTGTGCTAATGCGGTATGGCAACTTGAATCGATGCATATATTTGCCTGGTCCTACATTGTAACTGACTGACTGACTCTCTTTAAATCAATCGAAAGTGGATTAATAACCGTTTAAGGATATCTCTAAATGTAATTACGAATCTATATGTACTTTTGAAAACAAGTACATAAGGGGGACTGACAGAAAGGTATCTATCTCTACAAGGTTTTCTGAACATATTCCTCGAAAGTTGTGTTTGAAAGAAAATGAAGCATTCATAAGTGTGACCACGAGACATTTAATTGAAAATGAACACAAAGTGAACATTACCATCAAGACCTTATTATGAAGAAAGAATGTACAATAAACTTCATTCATTACCATGGAAAGATAGTTATATAAACTATCTTAACTATTATGTCATTTCAAACTGAACTTCTTTAATTCAGTCAATCATCTACAATGTAGGAGACCAGGTACATACATGCATCGGTCCAAGTTACCATACCTCATTACCAGAACAAGATGAACACCAAATTCATAGAATCACTTATTTCAATAATAGTGTGTATACCTACACCATTGTGATCGATTCTGTACCATGTCACCAAGAGTCTCCAACCATTGGTTACGATAGTCACGTGGACGCTAACCAAGTAGTTTGGATCTACCAAAATGGTTCAGACTAAGGTTTATAATAAAACATTTTTATAATCATATTACTAATGTGAATTGAAATTGATGAGAAGCTTGAAAATACATTGAATCCATGTTATTCTGTAAATTTTGTTCTTCTCACTTTATTTAAAATGAAAATAGGTCAAAGTATGATATACTGACGACCTTTAGTTGACTAATCAGAATTAAGATAACACTTGAGCTGTTTTGTGCGAAATTTAAGGTACACTGATAGATAAAATGTACTTTATTATTAACCAAATGAAAATTGGTGCTTGAGATGTTTTAAATCAATAAAAAATATCTATTGTGCTACCAATAAAGTGAATAAAAGATCCTAAACATAAACACGCATCCGGTGTTCATCTTGTTGTGTTAATGAACCGATGCATACATGTGCCTGGTCCTACGTTGTAGCTGACTGACTGACTGAAACATAACATGCCTACTACTAAGGCAGATATAGTCTGTTAAAGTACTTGATGTGGTTTACTGAATAATTAGGTGTTTTGATGAAGCTAGATCATATTCTCCCTATTCTAACTCTTATTCTACATCTGAAACCTTAAGTTTCACAAATTTGTAAACAGAAGAAAAATGACAAAGCATGGATTTATAGTGGATTTCAGTTCATGATGAAAATCTTGACCTAAATTTGTAAACCTAACTCGAATTCGTGACCAAAACTTTACAGGGTGACAACCTTAACTTATAATAGTAATCTGACTAGTAATAAGTATGTACACACATATGTAAACTTGACCTTTTTTCTAACTACGAAGGATAATTTGACGTAAAAGTGTTAATTATTTTAATCAAAGCTGTCATTATTCCACTATTAGGTGTTTAGTAACTAAACAGTCTTCGAATTGGCTGATAGGCTACCACCCAACGTCGCCGCAGCATATACATTTACCTAATAATAATAATAATGTTGATCAATATATAACCCCAATCCACCGGTGAAATCCCAATCATTTTCAGTTGGGCAACACTCATATTTCAAAATAAAGCAATATAATTTATGAACCGACACAAAATAACAAAAATATTCATCATTCTAACAGTGTGTTAATACTCTTTCTGTGAATATACTGTATTAAACAAATGAGAAGCATTATGGTGAAGTGAGCGCGAGGACACTGAATCCATTAAAATCAAGGTGGATGGAATAGAACTTGGACCTAAGACTGACAGGTTGTTCATCAAATAGTTTAATCAGTGACACATAATTTAATTAGCTAACTTGATGCGTTCAAAGATATGTAAATATCTTAAGTTCTACAGAATGCTAATTATACCTTGAAAACCTCTCCGTCTCAGACTGTGAATTAAAGTACGTTCAAGTTTAAATAGTAAAACGTAGTATTAGATCTATCACGATTAAAAATATTCCGATAAGATTAACCAATAATCACAACCATACACACGATTATATGTTTACTAATGAACAAATTCTATTCTTGGAAACCTAGTGAGGAGAGATGTCCAGTAAAATTCAATTGTTTCAAGATTCAGATAAATCTCAACATTTCAAATAAATGATAACGTAAACTATTGTTTGAATCTTCAATGTTCACCACAAAGCCTGAATATCCTGGTTTTTAATCGTTGGTGATGGGTGGGTCGTGGATGTGAACCATCATTAAGGTATCTAATACTTCAACGTAACAACTGGTTAATGCTTTCTTATTTTCATTAGTTATTAAACTATAGTCACTTAATGAAATAAATATACAAAAGGACGATTTACTTTTTGTCTACAATAAAAGTAGACGGAGGGAAACAATCAATCGCTTGTCATTTTTTCTGCTTATAGAACTTACCTCTCCATCATTAATGGTGATTCACTGACATTCGCTAAAGCAGCAACAATTGCAGCTATCACACGTCTTCCATTTGGACTAGCACTACCAATCTCATCAGAATTTAGTAAATCTTGTCGATTATTAATATTACTATTATTATTAGTAGTAGTAGTAATACTACGATTATTGTTGTTATAATTTAACAGAAGCGGATGGATTTGATTGTGGCCAATTTGTGATTTAAATGAATTATGTAAATTCGATGAAGAATATGATGAAAAATTTGATACAGTTGAAGCAGTATTACGTGCAACCATAATATCAACTAATTCTTGATCCATTTCACCTTCATCATCATCATTATCATCATCTTCGTCGACATTACGATCACTGGTATTATGATGTGTCGATGAGAAATTGACATTTGTAGCATTGGTTATTAATTGGTATTTTTCTGAAATTTGTTTTTTTGGTGAATTATTTACCGTCATAGTTGTTGTAAATGATGAAAGACAATGTGAACCGGGATCATCATTTATATAATTTAAACTAGTAGGAGTTAGTTCTGTTGAATTGGGACGACCAACTCTACTATGCACTGGGACTATTAATGTACAGAAAACAAGAAATAAGCACACAAAGAATGAAATAATGTATAGACATCAGTAATGAAATTGTAGCACAATTAATAAAGAGGCAAAAAAATGATAAGTTCTACGGATATGGACATAAACCAATAAGATGAAAAACAGTAAAGTTTCGGACTTTTCATTCTATAGCCAGCCGGGTTGCCCCTAACTTTTTTCCAACCTACTCCTATATCAGTCAATATTGCATGTTGAGGTAGGCAGTGGTTGACCGTGCATAAAACATGTCCCATACCAACCCAATCAGTGAAGATTCCCTATCTCATTAAACGACTTACCATATGTTAAAATCTTACTGAAAAAAAACTAGATTAAACAAATTAAACCATTCAAACTCTGCCCTAGGAGTTGAAGGAAGAATTATGACGTCTCGTGATAAAGGAAGTCACGAGACCGATGTCCCTTCTAACAACAAGAGCAAAAACTTATGTAGGCACATGGAACGTCCAGACAATGTGGGAGACTTTAAGGACCAGTCAAATAGCAACGGAAATGAGATAAAAATTGACAGTGCTCGGAATCAGTAAAACCCATTGAACCAAGCTGGACAGCAAAGGATAGATTCCGGAGAGATACTGCTGTACTTAGGGTGAGAATCTCATGGATCCAGGATCACCAAAGCATCGTTTGAAACAAACATGGGAATCACAGTGAATGTTATCCAATGTTATGCACTCACCAATGATAACAACGACGACGATAAAAATCAGTTTTACGACAGGCTGCAATCGATCATAGCGAAGTGACCACGAAAGCATCTGACAATCCTAATGGGAGACCTAAACGCCAAAGTCGGAATGGACAAAACTGGGTATGAAGGTGTCATGGGACAGCATGGAGTGACTGGGAGAAAGGAACGAGTGATGAAAGATTTTCGAATTTATGTGCATTCAACAAAATGGTTATAGACAGCACAATATTCCCCCGCAAACGCATACACAAAGCAAAGCGTGTCTCACCGCATCATACCACGGAGAACCACATAGATTGTATTTGCTTCAGCAAAAAAATTCAGAAAGTTAATGGAAGACATGAGACCAAGGACAGGAGCTGATAAAGCCTCAGATCACCATCTGGTTGTTACTTACTTACTTACTTACGCCTGTTACTCCCAATGGAGTATGAGCCCCTGACCAGCATTCTCCAACCCACACTGTCCTGCGCCTTCCTTTCTAGTTCCATCCAATTGTTGTTCATTCATCTCATATCTGTCTCCGTTTCTCAGCGTAATGTGTTGTTTGGTCTTCCTCTTTTCCTTTGGCCTTGAGGATTCCATGTGAAGGCCTGCCTTGTGAAGCAGTTGGGTGCTTTCCTCAATGTGTGTCCTATTCACTTGCTTTGCCGATCCGCGCCTTCACATCTGCATCAGATCCACCCTGTTCATCAATGATGCTGACCAAATATGTAAAGGTTTTTACATCTTCCAAATGTTCTCCGTCAATTGTGATTGGATTGGTGCATGCTGTCTTGTATCGGAGAATCCTGCTTTCCCCTTTGTGTATGTTGAGACTTACTGCTGCTGAGGCTGCTGCTACACTGGTCGTTTTCTCCTGCATTTGTTGTTGCGTTTGGGATAGGAGGGCCAGATCATCTGCGAAGTCTACATCGTCCAACTGCATCTTAGATGTCCATTGTATCCCGTGTTTCCCTTCAGATGTTGACGTCTTCATGATCCAGTTGATCACTAGGAGAAAGAGAAAGGGTGAGAGTAAGCAACCTTACCTGACACCGGTCTTCACCTCGAACGAGTTTGTCAACTGTCCTCCATGCACGATTTTGCAGTCTGATCCATCATAGGAATTTCGTATGATATTGACTAAACTCTGAGGCACGCAATAGTATCGAAGAAGCTTCCATAGTGTTGTTCTGTCCACGCTATCAAATGCCTTTTCGTAGTCAATGAAGTTGATGTAGAGTGATGAATTCCATTCAATTGATTGTTCCACAATGATCCGTAGAGTTGCGATTTGATCTGTACACGATCTTTCCTTACAGAATCCTGCCTGTTGGTCTCGAAGTTGGGCGTCTACGGAGTCCTTCATTCTGTTTAACAATACCCTGTTGAAGACTTCCCGGTATTGAGAGAAGAGTGATGCCCCTGTAGTTATCACAGTTGCTGAGATCGCCTTTCTTTGGTATTTTGACCAGAGTCCTTCTTTCCAGTCTCGTGGTACTTGTTCCTTATCCCAAATCTTATTAAAGAGAATGTGAAGTATCCTTGCAGTTGCCGCCACGTCTGCTTTCAGTGCCTCTGCTGGAATGTTGTCTGGTCCTGCTGCTTTGCCACTCTTGATTTGTCTGATGGCCATGCTGATTTCTTCAATTGTTGGTAGGTCAACAATCACCTGGTTGTTGCTAAGATGAAACTGAAGCTAAAGAAGCATTGGACAACTGGACTAACAGCATTACAAAGGTTCAATTCAGCCTTCCTTTAACATATTGACAAACTCAACCAATTCAAGATAACTCTCATCAACAGGTTCCAAGCCTTTCCAGATCTACTGAAAGAAGAAACTACTAAGGAGGATAACTGGAAAGGGATAAAAGAAGCGCTAATTTCAACGAGTAGGGAGGTGCTGGGTTGCAAGAAGTATCATCATAAGGAATGGATCTCTATCGAAACTCTAGACGAGATTCGAGAAAGGAAGAACAAGAATACAGCAATTGACAACAGCCGAACAAGAACAGAGAAAGTCAAGGCACAAGCTGAATACATAGAAGCATTAGAGCTGACAAGCAGAAATACGTGAAAGATCTAGCAACGATAGCGTAAAAAACTTCAAGGGAAGGAAGTATGAAACAATTATATGATACAACGAAGAAACTGGCAGGTAAATATGGTAAATCAGAGAGACCGGTCAAGGACAATGAAGGCAAACCAATGTCTGAGATGTAAGAATAGTGGAACAGGTGGATAGAACAGTTTAAAGAACTGTTAAATGAGCCAACCCTACTGAAGCAATCGAACATCGAAGCATAACACACAGAACTTCCAACAGCTGTCACTCCACCAACGACCGAAGAAATCAGGATGGCCATCGGACAAGTCAAGAGTGGGAAAGCAACAGAACCTAATAATATACCAGATGAAGCACTGTAGTCAAACACAGAAGTAACTGGTAAGATGTTTTACGTTCTATTCAGGAAGGACAAGCGCCGACAGACTAGAAAAGAGGACACCTCATTAATATACGAAAGGAGATCCGAACAAATGTGAGAACTACAGAGGAATCACACTACTATAGGTACCAGGAAAAGATTACAACAAAGTGTCGTTGAACTGGATGAAAGATGCAGTAGACGTCAAGTTTCGAGATCAACAGGTTGGATTCCGTGAGGATCGATCGTGCACAGACCAAATTGCAACACTACAGATCATCATCGAACAATTAACTGAATGGAACTCGACAATACATTTACTTCCTTGACTATGAGAAAGCATTCTACAGTGTGGATGGGAAGAATTTATGGAAACTTCTTCGACACTATGGTGTACCTGAGAAAATCGTCAATATCATCCGGAATTCATACGACGGACTACACTGCAAAGTCGTGCGTTGAGGACAGATGCATTCCAAGTGAGGGCCGAAGTCAGACAGGGATGCTTACACTCCTCTTTCTCTTCTTCTGGTGATTAGCTGGATTATTAGGACCTCCACATCTGAGGGGAAGCACAGAAAATAATGGACAGTTCGAAACCATCTAGACGATTTGAACTCCGTAGATCACCTGATCCTCCTATCCCATACATATGAAGAAATGCAGATGAAGACAACCAGTGTAGCAGAAGTCTCTGCAACAGTAAGCCTTCACAACCAAAAGGGAGAAAACAAGATCCTCAAATACAACATAAAGAACATCAACCCAATCACACTTGATGGAGAAGCTCTGGAATCTTTCACGCGTCTGGGCAGCATCATCGGTGAACAAGGAGGATCTGATGCAGACGTAAAGGAGTGGATTTTCCAAGTAAAAGTTACATTCCTAAAGTTGAAGAAAATATGCAATTCAAAACAACTGTTAACTAACATCAGAGTCACAGTCACCAATACAAACGTCAAGACAGTCCTACTGTATGGAGTTGAAACTACGAGAACTACTACAACTATCATCAGAAAGGTGCAAGTACATCTAAACAATTTTCTACACAAGATGCTCAATGTCCGTTGGCCGGAAACCATCAGAAACATACTACTGTAGGAGAGAACAAATCAGTTTCCAACTGAGGAGGAAATCCAGAAAAAAACGATGAAAGTGGATAGGACACACATTGTGGAAATCACCAAACTGAATCGCGAGGTAAGCGCTTGCCTGGAATCCTGAAAGGGGACGGAAAAGAGGAAAGCCAAATAACACGCTACGTCGAAAATTAGAATCAGACATGAAAAGGATGAATAGCAACTGAGAACAACTGGAAAAGATTGCCCAGGCCAGGGTTGGATGGAGAATGCTAGTAGGTGACCTATGCTCCTTCACAAAAGTAAGTAAGTTTCTCACACTTGACGTCAACATAGAAAAGAGAAATCAGTAACGACAGTAGGAAAAGTGAAGTAGTGTTTAGTAAAAAGATGAAAAATGAGGAAAAATAAATGAATTTTTGACAAGTAGATTGAAATGACTTTTTGGGGCTATTTTATAGAAAGTTGATGAATACTGAGACAGTAAGAACGATATTTTCACCTATCTACCTATACAGCTCAAATCAATATTCCATGAGTGGTAACCAAACATTGTCCGACGTTATTTCAGTAAGTAACAAGTGGCTAGAAAATAAAATGTGCAGATGGATCGTGCTCTGATACGTTATTCACGTAAGGAATTATCCAATAAATCTTTCACAGCTACAAATAACGAACATGAACACACACACACACAGAGGTAGAGAAATTGTTAACTAACTATAAATTTATTTTCATTTACATAAAATAAACCAATGACTTACCGAATGGTGATTTATGATGTACCATAAAGGTATTCGTTGTCGATTCTGTCGATGATGTTACAGGTGTTGTTGATAAATGTGAATGTGAATCATCAAAATTGCATAATCCGGTTGCTGTTGATGTTGTCAACATTGAGGTGTTGCTAGTTAATGAATTTGATAGAGGATATGACAGTAGGTTTTCATCTAATGAACCATCTATAGTTGGTGTTCTAGCTTCAGGACGTTTTTTCGCCGGTTGCCGAGGTGTTGACTTCCCACTAGATGAGTAATTGGAACTACTCATCCAAGATATTGTTGTATTAATATTATTGTTATTAGTAGTTGTATTTAATGTATTGTTAACAGAAGATGGATATATATGTAAGCCATTCACTGAACCACTATTGACTATTAACCCAAGATACGGTTGTGAACAAAGGAATGTGCCATCTTTATTTAAATTACAATGACGTTGTTGTTGTTGCATAGTAGTGCACGATTGAAGTAGAAATGGTGATGATGAATGATCGTCATCGCCGTCATCATCGTTCTCTTCTTCTTCGCCTTCTTGATGTTGTCGTTGGAATAATGATTGGTCAGAATGGAAATGATGATGATGATGAAGCATTGACTGATCTTGATCATTCTTAATAGATCGTGATACAAGAGAGTTAGGAGAAGAATGAGGTAATAGACTATTCGAAGTAGAGATAACCATCGAAGTCGTAGCAGTAGTATTACTAGTAATAGTAGCATTAGTAGGAGTATTAATAATATTAGCACATTGAAGTGATCTAGATAAGGCAGAAGTATTATCATGCATAGAAAAAGTATAAAATGCACTTGAAGTATTATTATTAATATTGGCACATGTCGAACTAACAGGATTATTTGAGATCAATGATGAAATATTCCCATTGGTTAATAATGTTGAATCTGATGGTCGACGAATTTGTGGATGAATTTGTGAAATTCGAGTATTATTATTAGTAGTAGTATTAGTATTATTATTACTACTATTACTATTATTACTAAATGGTATTCCAGATATAAGTAAAGGTGGACTTGATGAAGAATGTAAATGATATGAATTTTTTGCTGGTGATGATGGAAATGAACTAGGTGATACTGGTCTTGGTCGTTTTAAACTATAACGTTCAGATTTTAATAGAATTCCATTATGATCTTTTGAATAGATCATTGAATCATTATTATTAGATTGAATTGAATGATTTCTATTTGTAGAGCATATTAATGTTGAATGATTGAAATCATTTATTGAATGTTGATATATAGGTGATGGTTGTTTAGTATAATTAATTGTATTCAATGAAAAATTATTCATTGTAGTTGTTATGGTTAATGATTCATGTAATGGATCTAATTTATGAGATTTATGATAACCACCATAGGATAGATATGAATTTGGCTAAGATTATACAATGAGAAAAATAAACAGTAATAATAATGATGATAATTAATTTCATGTAAAATGTTAATTTAGAAAATGAGATCAAATTTTAGTTATTCAATATGATAATATTAAGATCAAAGTATTGATTGAGTACCATTGTGATATGGGTTACTTATATCCGCATAAGTAGTATATAACGATGGTCAGGAAAATAGAATGTATTTTAGTAGAAGATTAATAAGGAAAGAATGGGAATGGAACGTAATTGGTATGAAAATGCATGGAAAAATGAAATCTGAGACAATGGACTGATATTTACAAAAAAGAAACAGTCAAATTTGAGAAAATGGATTGATATTTTGCAAATTAACTATTTACCATGTGGTTCTCAGATTTTAATGAGATATTTTGTAATTTTGCGCTCAAATACATTCGACTGCCCCTACTCGTGTTCTTGTTCGCGACACCTTCATTAATGGTAACATGGTTACATGTCACCTGACTTTTAAGCAATAAATTATAGGTGGCTACTAATTAGGGCTCAGTAGATAAGTGGAGGAAGCGAACAGTACTTACTGGGTTCGAGTCCCAGAGTGAATATCAACTATGAGTTGCAGGTATATTTAGGTGACGAGTCCCAAATAGGACGTAACGTACATCATAAATCCCACTGCTAGTCACTATCCATCTTTGCTTATAAAGCTTGTGACATATGCCATATTCAGTCCGAAATAACAGTGGGAAGATACACGTTAACAACATCAAGTGAAGATATGTGTTATGTCGGAAGAAAACAACATGTTGTTTTCTTGTAATGTACTGTATCGAATTCCGTGTGATAAGGTCGTGATTACAGTAAACCAGTTGTATGGTATATGTTTCCTTTTTTTTAGGTAGATTATCGATTAGTTCATTTATATTCCTAGTAGGATTGGTGAGCTACTATTTACCAAATGATAGATTGATCAATCAAAACGTTAATGTTTACCAGTCCTCAAGCTCCTTCTAACCAGGTGAACAATCAGAAAACGAAGATAAAAACATATCAACTCTTCTATTATACTCAATTCAATTATGGCTCCAAACTCAAACAATAATATATATATGAAATTTCTGAACACATAGTAACACAATTAAGGAAGGAAAAAAGATGAAGAACTGACCATTAAACACCATAGCAAGAATTAGATAACTGTTTGACTTAAATTTGTTACAACCAACGATTATATTTTCATTTCTTATGGATAAGAAATAACATCAGTAGTGGAATGTCTTTTAAGGTCAACTATTGCTTTATTATGATGAATGGATTGGTGAGGCAGTAAAAATTCACTGATGGATGTGGTGCATTACATATGTCTTATTATCGCCTACATTAATATGCAGTGTTCACTGATGATGTAAAAGTAGGTTTGAAGAAAGTTAGAAATTATAAAACCAAAATATAGCGTCAGTCTATGTAATTATTGACGGCTTGTGTGTCTATCTTGTATATTTATTTGATTAAACACATAAACATTGGTAGAAGGAGTCATCAAATAGATATGCGCCAGATAAATCATTCGATTCGCATGAGGCCTGGGATACTGCCAGTACGCCCAAATCGAAGCAGGTGATTCTCTTAGCGGGCCACACCCAGAGCCTTTGACCTAAAGGTCTAATCCACAAGGCAGTGGAGCAACGTCAGGAAGATGCAGTCCCATGGTGGCCGGTGACTAACAATAATTTCATACGTCATTTGTTCCTTGAGGTTCCTGGAGTTCATGTGCACCATTGATTTGGAATCAGTATTTCCCAACTCCGCTATGTGGACTCTTCATGTTCATCAACCTGGTTAAAGCGACGAACATTCTCTTTTCGTCCGGTCAATTTCGTACATAACAGTAATGCCACGAGAATGCAATAAGTAGGACATCTCTGACAGTGTTTGTATGCATGTGGCCATGTGAGAGGATTTCGAGAGAGAGAGAGAGAGAGAGAGAGAGAGGGTTGACTCTCCCCACCCTCTGTCATATCAGGGCTGGGGGTCCAAACTATCTACCGTGATTAGTAGTTGAAAACATTAAGTAATATAACTAAAGAATTGGTCTCAACATCGTAGAATGCGTTGTATTAATTGACAACATGAGAAGTTTTAATCTTATTCTATATAATATGAACTATTGTTGATTACATAATGAAAAATGATCATAAGTGATGGAATCACAAACAATAAACTATCACATTGGAAAGTGATATTCAATGATACCTATTTATCACATTATTGTTTAATAAGAAAATAATAATGAATAATTTACAAGGCAAAAGAAACAAACAAAATATTTTTTTGTTTTGTTTTGTTTTGTTGTGTTTCTAGGAGAAAAAGAAGAAGAGAGAAAGAGAAAAACAAGAAGTAGAAATTCCAGACAAGAACCTTGAACTTATTCTAATATGATACATAGTTGAAATGAATACATAGTCAATAAGTTAATTAATATTAGTTAATAGTAAAATGTAGAAATATGATCAGCTTTTTTTGATTATCATTATAATTATTATTATATTCTTACTAACAACAATGTGTTTTAGAATAAATTACACGTATACATATATGTGTGTGTGTGTTTTAAGATCTTTGATAAACCAGTAGTGTAAATCCAGTCAGTCAGTTACAATGTAGGACTTGGCACATATATGCATCGGTCCAAGTTGCCACACCTCAATTAGCACAGCAAGACGAACACCGGATTCATAGAAGCAGTCAAATCAATGGTGTAATATATAAATGAAAGATTGTACACAAGGATATAGTACAAGATGAAATAATCAGTACGTAGAAAGATATGCAGCGATTTAAATGTATATTAGTACAAGGGAGAATCAAATGTACACACACCTCACAAATCATTTGATATGTGTGATGGCTGGGATACTTTCTGGACACCCAAACTAAAGCAGGTGGTTTTCTTAGTGAGTCACTCGTTGAACCTTTAATCCAGACGTATAATCCACATGACAGTGGAGTAACGTTAGAAGATGCGGATCCATGGTATCTGGTAAACAAGAATGGGTTCATACACCATTTGTTCTCTTAGGATCATGAAACTGATATGCGCCATTGGTTTGGTATTCAGTCAGTCAGCAACAACGTAGAACCAGGCACATATATGCATCGATCCAAGTTGCCACATGTTAATTAGCACAGCAAGAGGAAAACCGGATTCATAGAAGCAGTTAACTCAATGGTGTAATATATAAAGGAAAGATTGCATATAAGGATATAGTACAGGAAGAAAGAATTAGTACGTAGAAAGATTTGAAGCGATCTTAATCTCATAGTTTAAGGGAAGACAAAGAGTGTACACACCTACACTATTGTGATCGATTCTGAGCCATGTCACCTCAACCAATTAGTCTACATCTACTAACATAGCTCAGACTAGAAGTCAGCGACTTCAAGCACTGATGCCACGTTTTTGGTTTGGTCGCCTCTAACTTTCTACCAACCATCCCCTACACTAGTCAACATTGCGCGTCGTGGTAACCAGTGTTCGGGCATACGTGTAACACGTGGCCCAACCATCTCAGTCGATGAAGATTCACAACCTCATCAACTGATTTACCATCATTGCCTAATACCCTGCCGTCTAACCTCGCTATTACTTACTCGATGATCCCAGATGAGAGTGTATATTAACTAAAAGGGAGAATGATGTGTAAATCTATTTTGATCATTCATGCAATAAACAAAACAAAAGCACATAATGTATATAAAAACAACTATATTGACCGGAAGAAATGTCTCTTAGTTGAATTCGTATCACTAGTTGTAGAGAAGCATGATTGCAGTGAGGTTTTTCTTTTAGATAGCCGTTATTTAAAGAGATCCTGCCATCCCATAACGTAAGGGAGGAGTTGAAAAAGCATGCCACATCTTACTTCACGGATTTCCGTCTCCGATTGTAAGGACTTTTGATGTACGACACTTACATATTTGACAATACTCACAAAAAGACCACATGTCAGCCAGCTACAACGGAGAACCAGGCATATATACACATATGCATCGGTCTAAGTTTTCATACCTCATTAGAACAACAAGATGAACACCAAATTCATAGAAGTAGTTACTTCAATGGTGTAATATATAAAAGAAAGACTGTGTATAAGGATATAATACAGGAAGCAAGTTTAATCTCACGGTTTAAGAGAAGACAAAGAGTGTATCACAAGAGGAAGAATATTTCCATGGTGCAAGCAGTCTGTAAGCAATAATTGCCCTCATACCTCTAATAGCACTCGAAATTATTTAGTTTGACATCTACTGAGATACAAACTCAGCAGAAAAATCATTAAAATAAACAAAATTATGAATCCTTACAGTATATTGATTAGACTATATTGAAGATTTTCAGTATACCTGATTAGTGTTTAACCCTTTGGAATGTGTACCGTAACAAAATAAGCGACAGAGGTTGTCATGGATATGGTCGCAGGGTTTAGTAACACTAATTACAGTGGCCGACCGCTGAATCCTACGTTTATTTATAACTACTTTGTGCTAATAGTCCAGGTGATTTGGCATCGAGTGTAATATTCCATGATGTTAGATGGTTGGAGGCAATCGACAGACAGCTATGGATTTACTAAAAAGATCTGAAATTATGTAGCCCTTTTCGTTTTGATCAATAAACGATAACTCTGATGCATACGGAATTTAATTGGAGCATTTTTTCAGCTTATTCCACTAGCCTTGACTGCTACCTAATCGGTTGTTTTAGCTTTTAGGTCGCAGATTCTATCAAGTTCATAACTATCGCGATATAAACAGAGACGTATTATGGAAATTTTGACTTCGAACATCAAGCCTTTGTCTGACTTCTCTATGATCCTTTGAGACTATCCATTGAAGTGTTGCGTATCAGCTGTCCAGTCGATCTAGTTTGCACATATCCCGTCTTCATATTGGGAAGATCTCACAACCTTTTACAAACAAATTTATCGTAAACTATCTCAAAAGTTAATAGGAGCCGTACTTCATGCTAGTCGGAACTTATTACACCATTAAGGTATGTGTGGGATTCAAGACCAACCTACATGCTTTTCGCTGAAGAAGCCAGACTAGAACGTAATCTGGTTATTTCTGTTTTCGTGCTAACCGACTCCGACGAGATATGAGGAATATGTATATCGTATTTCAAAATCCTTCTACTGGTTTACATTATAGGAAATAAAAAAATAATGATGAATAACAAATATATCACTGAGTGCTGGTAATCATAAGAAATTAACAGTAAGTACTGAACTACTGAATATATATATATAACAGCTTGTAATACATGAAAGGCTTACAAATGAATTGGCGCGGTTCAAATTCATCGATCCCGTTGTTATTGTTGTTGTCATTGTCGTTGTAGTTTCAGATTTCTGTAAAGCATCTTTAATAACTGGAACCAAATCGATTAATTCACGATCAGATGCACTTAAAGTAAGCTTAGATATAGACTCATTAGCAGGATTTAAGTTTTCTGAAGAAAAAGAAAAGAAAGTCAAAAATAGTAGGAAAAAGGAAACATGAAATTCACTGTAAATTATTGTTGGTCATTCAGTTATAGACAATGTAGAACCTGACAAAAATATGCAACGCTTCATTTTTCTAAGATCTAGTGGATAATAAGGGGTAGATGCATTTACGCCATTGCAGTCGATTTTCATCCATATAACACAATACACCTGCAAACACTGATCGCAGTTATTGCTCAGAAATGAAACAGATAGTCTGTACCTATCAAAATGTATCACACATCAGCGATTAACGATTTCATGGAATGAGGCTACATTTCCACTTGGCTGCTCTTAATTTTTCCAACCTACTACCAAGCTAGTAGGCATCGTGTGTCGAGGTAGGGATTGTTAGGCAAACATAATATTTGCTCTGACCACTTTGGTCGATGAAAATTCACTAACTCATCACAGAAAGTGCAACCTTTGCTTAGTAATCTATGCCCAAAATCAATATTTCTCACTCATTCACTCAAAAATACGCAAGTAATGCTTCGAAAAGACTTATGGTCAAAAACCTTTCACGTTTCAAAACCACAAATTAGAAAAGGGTGGACTGCTGTACAGTATATAAGCCCTTCGGTTTGTAGACGGATATCTTGTCTATGTCACAAGTGACACAAATCGGCAGACATAGGCCGTGACTTCTGAATCCGTGACTAGATTTTGTCAAACAACAAATTACTAAGGCTAATCTGACCTCCGTTTTAAGTGAAGTAGTTAACATGTTCAACATAGGGGAGATGGTGCGGATCGACTCTAGCTATACAACTCAGGACAGAAAAACAAGTGAATACAACGGCTTGACTTTAGCTGATGGATGCTACAATGAAGTAATGATTGAGACTGACTATGATGAAGATACAGTAGAATTATATTAGCTGGAAAACTAGTTTCATAAGATCCTATTATCTTAGAAAGATGGGTCGCATTGCAGTAAGGTTAAAAATAGCAAGTCATGGGTTTGAGAAAAAGCGTTAAATACTTTAACAAAAATGCTCTTTCATGAGCAAAGTGGTAGTAAAATTTCGATGTCATGAATTTCCCATACTGAGACTAACAGGGAAAATAATCACCGACGTAATGAATGTGGGTTATCGGGCCTTCGAAGAAAAATTTTGGCTTTGTGATCACTCTGCTAGGCTGAGAGGGCCATTAAAACTCAACTTTGTCGGTAGTTCCCATTTGGTAAATGTAAATACAATCAATACCTTTAAACGGACGACCTGGTACACACATACAGTGGTCTAAATTGTCATACTAGGTCAGTAGTACAGTGCAATGACATTATTAAGATGACTAACAAAAGAGCCGACATAAGTAGTTGTACCAATGAATGTAGAAAAAATTTATTCAGAAAGAAGGAAATTCAAGATTTCAAATAACATAAGGAATAAGACGATCAATACATCATTATATAACAACTTTAACCATCAATAAAAGGATAATTGTGCAGACCCCAACTAGGTAGGTTGTATAGGCTACACTAGGATTGACACGGTTATAAATAACAGCCACTGCCAGGGAAGTCCTACTCACTTCCTTCTTGCGACATTACTGTTATTTACGAAATTGAGAGGATGAAAAGCGAATGTCCGGCGCTTTAACTGGGTTGGAGGACACGGAGTCTATCTCGGAGAGTTGGAAAACCCTGATTCCAAGCGTTCGATGCACATGGGCTCCAGTATCCTGAAGGAAAAAATGGCGTATGAACCAATTATCGGTCATCGGCTACCATGGGATTGCATCTCCTGACGTTGCTCCACTATCTTGTGGATTAGACCTTTAGGTCGAAGGCTCTGGGTGTAGCCCCCTTAGAAAATCACCTGCTTCGGTTTTGGCATCCGGGCAGTATCACAGCCCACATATGTATTTGGTGACTCTTTGTACCAATATTTATGTGTTCAAATAAATAAAAAAATAAATACCCAACAGTCAATAGATTAACTTAGATTCCCGGTTGAGAGCCCTGAACGAGAACTTCTAAGGAGTCCCACACTAGGGCGAAACAGCCATTCAGTGAATCTAGGTTTCCAATGATGAATTAACTTGGATCAATTTTTAATATCAATAAAATAAATTAATAGTTCACAAGTAATGTCATTTTCAAGATACTCAATATCCATTAGCCAGATACCATGAGCAACAGCCTACTGTGAGAGAGAACAAACCAGCTTCCAGTTGAAGAGGAAATTAGGGAAAGATGATGGAAATGGATACGACATACATTATGCAAATCATCAAACTGCATCACGAAGCAATCCCTAACTTGGAATCATGAAGGAAAGCGAAAAAGTGGAAGGTCAAAGAACACATTACGTCGGGAAATAGAAGCAGATATGAAAAGCATGAATAACAACTGAAAAGAGCTGGAAAGGATTGCTCAGAACAGGGTTGGATAGAGAGTGCTGGTGGGTGACCTATACTCTTCCACAAGGAATAACAGACGTAAACAAAGCAAGTAAGTAAATGTCATTTTCATGTTTTATTCCATGCAATGTGTTATTTCGTTTGAAAACTTTCAATCATATTCCATTCGATGTACACTAACAGTCATTTACAATGGATGATTTTATTTTGAAAGAAAACAGAACAAAACTTGTTACATTACAATTGTCCTGTCTAAAATGTATACAACCTCTTTTTTATATCATACCAACATCATCAGCGACCGAACTAAAGTTGTGTGTGTGTGTGTGAGAGAGAGAGAGGAATATTGGAAATCTGAGAAGTTAGACATGACCATAATTCAGTCACGGTATGCATATGCATATGATCAAAATAAATAAATATTTATTTATTTATTTAAGAATTACGACAAACAAAATTAAAAACAAATAGAGCAAAACGTAACTGAATAAGTACTATATGGAAAAAAGAAATTGACCGGATTGGGGGAGATGGCGTAAAGAAATCGCTGTCTCCACACACACACACACACATATATATATATATATATATATATATACAATTTGAGAAATAACTAGTAATACCACATTCAAATATGACTTTACCATAAATACCAAACAGTCAAACTCAATATCTTACCAGAAAGATGTAACAGTATGATCAGTTGATTCGAGAGAAAAACAACTGATTGAAGCCACCTCTACACATGAAAATCGCTTATGTAACATAAGCGAACACATACACACACACACACATACTCAGGATATGGGTTTCCTTGCCTCACTTCCAAAAAGTAGGACACATCTATGTAAACAACCCATGGTTTTAACCATCGTGATATATATGTATAATACATATTACTTAACCTTTCGCCTTGTTCTTATTACACCATTTTAAAGACAATCGAAGTTCAAATAAACACTTGGAAAAAGAGGGTTATATACACAAGCAACTAGTTGCTTCAACAACGAAATACAAAAGGATTTCTTGAGTAAACTACAATAATGAGGAAATATGTGTTGTTCTTGTCAAATTATAGGATTTCCTCCAATCGTTACTTTAGTTCTGTGTAACGCAGATGAATCATTTATGGAAATTTTCTACCATTATTTTCGGATATATATATATATATATAGAGAGAGAGAGAGAGAGAAAGATAAGATCATCAAATCCAATCAGGAAATACCTAAACTCATCCTATAGGAATGGATACATCAGGAACAATCAATAATATGGAAATGATGCAAAAACTTTAAGATTTAGAGTGAAATATTAGAAAGAAAAAGTGGATACATCTGAGTTTAAAATCAGATGATCAATGGTTTGAAGAACAGTCGTACGTCAAATGTGTTCAGAAGAATATATGTAAGCTGTGAAGAGATCACTTTCAGAGAACTTGAAAAAAACAACATTCAGGTCTTGTAATCAGTACAACATCATTTGACCACACTGAATGTGAATCGAATGGGGCTACCAATTCTCAATTTTACTTATTATTACATAGCAACTCACGTGCAATTGAGTTTGTTCTCATTTAACTCAGTTAAGCCCTTTTATTAACTTACTTAGAGGACAAAGTCTTCCGTACTATAACAACTTATTGTACCTTTATTATTGTTGTGCTTGTATGAGATATGTATGCTTGAACATTTGCTTACCGCCTACCCATATATTCATTCTGCTAGCTTTATTATTAAGTGCTTAATTGATTAGATGATCCATTTAACATTCTACGCTCTCAGTTCGCTGACTCACTCATTCGCATCATTGCTTTGTGGTCTGAGTCATTTGCTAATAAAACTGTAGTCGCTGCTTCCTCTTTGCCTTCTGATTTCAAACACCGTTGAAGATTATATGGTAACGGTTACGAGGATGATTGGTCAACGAAGCACAGCCACTATAATCATTTGTCATCTTGGTGAGCAACATGGAGCGGTCGCTCAGTAGTTAAGATGTTAGACTTTCGAACACTAAATTCCAAGTTTGAGCTCTACTCCACCTAGTTTGGTTTAGAAGACTGGGTGGTATCACCAGGCCTTTTGTTTAAACTTCGTGAAATCCGATCTCGAATTTCGTTACTTATCAAACCACTAAGTTATCTATGATACTCCACGAAATACACCGTAAACCGATTAAAGTGTCTTCATTGTATACCTCTTTTGATAATATAAGAACAAATAACCAAAAGTAGCACAAAACTCACCACTTCTATATTGTTGAAGTTGTTCTATAGAAAAAGGCCCAAATACATCTACATATTCATCCGGTACTACATTAAATTTAAAACAAAAGGTGAAATACATAAAAAGTGGAATAGGATGAGAAATTATTATAAAACAGACTGTATAACGGACACTTAATTATATACAATTGAATAATTACTGAGTAATGATCAATCTCATGCTTGCCGAGTCCTTTTCAGTACTGAATGAATTCTACCAATCGATTTGTAATGTGGTCACAAATCTAAGGGACTTGATAGTGTGTAGATTATGTTACGACATTAACTGGTTGGAGGTAGTTGCTAGGAAACTCTAGACCTAGGAGGCCATCTGTAGCCTGTATAGCTTGATGGTAGAGTCTCTGGTTGCGAAGAAGGGTTAGGGAAGTCCGAATTCTACATAAAGCATCGGTTACGCTGATATGGCAAATACAAATTGCTGACAAGTGTCAACTAGCACGAAACTTAAACCCATGGTTTTCTACAGACTGCCTCCAACCAATTAACATCTCAACCTGATCATCAATAGTAAAAGGAATATGGATACATAGCACAAGTCCTGAATACTATTGAAGTATATACCAGGCAAATAACTCATGTTGGATATTAATAAATAGTACATATACAGCTCTGCTTTAGTAAGTCAGTTATAATCACTGTAGAGCATGAAATAAATATGCATCACCCCAAGTTCCTACACCATATCAGTACGATAAGATAAATTCAAACAACATGAATACCGAGAAGGAGTTGGAATTACCGTCGTATTGCCAGTGATAATGCGAAAGACTTTAAACAACGAAAAGCAACACGATCAAAATCGAAAGATACAAGTAATCACAAAAAAAGATAATTTACACGTTGTAGCAATGTTAAACAAATTATCGAGTTACAACGTAGATTTTATCATATAGAGACTTTAGTTTTAAAAAAGTACTGGAAAACGAAGTGCATTAAACATTCGTTTGCCCGCAAAGGCGCGTACCCACGGTTGTATCATAAGACCGAACTGACGATCTATGGGTTTCGCATTCAGTAGTAATATACACTCATATACCTGATTTTAAACTTGATGGCACTTGTTAAGCAAGGTGTGCCTGTAATCTTGAGAAAACTGATGCTCCCTGACGGATTCGACTGTGCCAACTAACGTCCAGGGTTTCCTGTCGACTACCTCCAACCACCATCTCGTCTCAACATAGTGCACGCGATATTGAGTCACCTATAGTCGCCACATTGCAACTTGATGTATACAATTCGATTTGTATTAAGGACTTAACACACATTATATTGGTCACCATTCAATGATCAATCAATTGCGGAATGTATGTGTGCATATGAAGGTAGTGGGTAGGTCTTCGCTGGCAGAAAAGCTATAAACGCGTAACCGTATGAAAACATTTCGATGGGACAAGTAGACACCCCTCTCCCTCGACAACACCAAGGTACTTGGGGGGAAAAATTACTCTCCCAAGACTAAATCCCAGTCATATTGTCTAATATTTCTCCACAGTTGAATTGGTTATTTCGGTTAGAAAGTTTATAGTTTCTTACAAATGTATTTGTATCATCAACCCACTAGAACTGATGATTGCTCAATGCACTGAATAAAAAGTTACTACTAACGATCTAGGTACAGTTTTAGACCGTAATCTGAACAGACATTTTGTGTTTCAATGAAGAGAAACACAATCCAAATAGTCACAGATCGGTTTCATTGTGTTTTATGAGAAAATATTGTCAGTCTTAACTAGAATGAGTTCTGGAGGTTGGTGAGAGCCTTTAAATAGCAGTTCAATTTCTGAAAAAAATAGACGAAGAAACATTTACATGTAGGGCCATATTTACGACAAAGACCATATAAAAACAGCAGGAAGCAGATACTGATGAACGTTACTTTATGCAATGAATTCTGATGAGTTTTTGAGAAGCCATGTAGATATCGGCAGTTCTTACTATAACAAAGTCATAATCTAAATTTACTAAGGAAGTACAGGCTTATATTTTGAGCTATAAGCCCATTCGTGTTGAAACAGATATTACTCAGCTGACTAGACCAAGGCAAGTGTGAAACCCAAGTACTCTACCAACCAGTAAACCACTGATTTTCCTGTTACGGGATCATGTACGAAAACTGTATCGTAAAATATAATCCATCGAAAAATTTAAATAATCAGACTATACATCTTGAATCAAAACACAATAAAATTTAGTAAAAATCATTCCCAATATCTGATAATTAGTAAACTATAAACATAAACTGTTAATAAACACAGAACTACTACTAACCGTTAGGAGCAATTCCTTCAGGATTGGCAGCAATCGACGGTGGAATAATGGTGTAACCTGCTTGAGCCAATGCTTTTAAAACCACAACAAGCGCTACTGAACTAGCTCTGAATCGAATATGCTGTGGTCGAACGCATAATTCATGATCACATGTATGAACCATGATGTTGGTATCGGTACTGGACATTGGTAAACCGTGATATAGCATACCAACAATTGTATCTAATCTCCAAACCTAATAATAGAAATACAATCTATTGACGTCCATAGATAAATAACACAAATTATTAACAAATGAATACTTTTATTAAAACATGAAAGTAATATTTATGCTCAAATCTTTAGAACTGAAATTAAACAACACCGATATTACCTTTACTAGTCTTTAGTTTGATTTTCTTTATGGAAACAATCAGGATGAAAGGTTATCAAACATAAATAACGTCACACAACAACTATGTACAAAAGGACTGTTTAGTCATGTTCAGATATTAAACATGATTTCCTGTCATTTGATATGAAATCTTAAAAATACAAAAAATAACTTTGAAAGGATAGAGAAGAATTTTATTTTAGGTGGATAGTTCTGGCGTTGTTGTGCTTTATTAAGGTCGATATTTTAATTGAATAGTTTCCATGGTTGTTCTGGACAACTTTATCTGACCCTAGTTTATTTATCTAAACACAAATATTATTACACGTGGGCACCAAATACAAGTGCGCCACACAATAACAATGAGGCCAGTAGCAGTTATAATTGATTTGCATGAGCTGTGAAACTGCCCGGATGCCAAAACCGAAGCAGGTGATTTTCTAAGGGGGCTACACCCTGAGCCTTCGACCTAAAGGTCTAATCCACAAGACAGTGGAGCAACGTCAGGAGATGCAATCCCATGGTAGCCGATGACCAATAATTGGTTCATACGCCATTTGTTCCTTCAGGATACTGGGGCCGAGGTGCATCACAGGCTTGGAATCAGGGTTTTCCAACTCTCCGAGATAGACTCCGTGTCCACCAACCCAGTTGAAGCGACGGACATTCGCTCCTCGTCCTCTTGAGTTCGTAAACAACACCCCGCCACAAGAAAGCAATGAGTAGGACTTCCCTGGCAGTGTCTGCATACGCGTGGCCTTGTGAGAGAATTTCGAGAGGGAGAGCGGACTTTCCTTACACTCGGCCGTACCAGGGCATTTGATGGCATCTGCACCTAGCTCATTTAAGGAGTTTACAAAATTTGACACGGCTCATTCTAGCAGTCAGTCAGTGACTTTATCGATTGATGACCTACAAAACTCTGCCCTAAAATTGCTTAAAATTTAAATGACCCTTTATCACGTTTATTCTCAGGTTTAGTATTTGGCATATGTGTCAATTTGTTAAAAAGAAACTTTTTGTTAGATAATTGTACTTTCTTTAGATCATATGTTCGTTTGAGTCCTGAATCAGTGTTTAGATCTTGTGAGCACTGTATCGCCATGCACTCTTCATTGCCCTCAAATGCCCAGGTAACGTCGAGTATGAGGAGAGTCCGCCGTCGCTCTCCAAATGCTCTAATTATGACCATGTGTATATGCCCACTGACAGGAAGGTCCAACTCACTCCATAAGAGGACGAAAAGAGAATATTCGACGACTAAACCGGGTAGGTGGGTACGGAGGATCCACCCATGGAAGTTGGAAAACTGATTCAAAATCAATGGTGCACATGCACTCCACGATCCTGAGGGAGCAAATGGTGTATGAACCTACTCCTGTGTACCAGTCATCATGGACCAGCATCTAACATTGCTCCACTGTCTTGTGGATTATACGTCTAGGTCAAAGGCTCGGGGAGTGGTTCCCTAAGAAAACTATCTGTTTCGGTTTGAGGAAAAGTGCAGCATTCTAGCCCTCACACAAATTTTGCGTAGCACATATGTATTTTTGTATTTTTTGTATCAATGTTAGTGTTTAAATAAATAAATAGTAGTTTACAAATCCCCATAGAATATTCAAAAATGAAGAATATTTGAGCGTCTTTGAAAAGGTGTGAAGCTTTGAAAGTGGGTATACTGACCCGTCCATGTACTCTTTCTAAATATATCTCGGTTTGTGGAACCGTCTATCCTTCTAGAAATATTCTTCATTTTTTAAATAAATAATACTTGAATCCATAAGTCAACTAAAGCTAGACCACCATGGAAAATTTGGAAGCGCTGGATGGTCACTTCGTGCTAGTATGAGACTCCTCAGCAGTTCCCATTCACGATCCTGCACGCGGAACTCGAACCCAGGACCTTCGGTCACGCTTAACCTTACTACAATCTCCACAAACCGACATTCTGGAAATAATAAACTCTTCACTATAATCTAATTCTTCAGTGTACTAACCGGTGTTCATCACAAATGCAAGACATTTCACTACCATGGAATTTTGAGAAGTGAACTTCTTGATAATAGAATTTTACCAAGCAAAATAGTTGACACCAATTTGTTTTTAACATAAATAATATATGCACGGGCGTTGTGAAGATAAGTGAATTTAATTTAAATTTCTAATCTATCTAGATTACCAAACCACCGGCAACCTGGAAGCACCAGATGAGTTTCCTCCTAGAATGAGATCTCATGCTGATAATCACCATGTGCTCCCCAGAAACTATCTTCGAGAGGAAATTTTGAAGTTCTAGGGAGAAGCCTTGACTAGTGGAGTTTGAGGAAGGTATCCACAGAAGACAATGGAAGATGATGGTGCAATATCGTGGACAGATTAAAGTTAGACCTGTACACCATGAAATACCGGCTCAGTGGTCTGAAGGCCGTGTTCGCGCACGAGACCGGAAGTCTTGAGTTTGACTCACGATGCCGATTTCACGGACGTGCACTGCTGAGAATTTCTATACCAGGAAGAAACAGTTGTCTGGAGGTTATATTCTGCTATAAAATCACTTCGCCAACATCCTTGGGATAATCATGAGATAAAAATGAATCAAATTCTACAATGATTGAAAAACAAGACGCATAAAATCATCCCAGTAAACAGTAGAAACTAAGTTGCATCCAGTGAATATAGACTTTAAATGATTAATAAGCAAATTAACTCATTCTCCAGGTACTTAGACATTAGTCACACTGTGTGAAAGATACTACTGCCTAGTTGCGCAAACCGAAGTGGAGTGTGGTTCGAATCCGAAACTTAGTGGCTGAAAGTCGAACACCTTAGCCACTAAGACACTGTTCACATACAAATTGACATTTAGGAAAGATATAAAACTTACTTTATCAGAACCTTTGCCACCATCAATGCGTCGCATACGGCCTTTAGCATCACCACGGCTTATAACACAAGAATGCGGATCATTTAAAGTATCCTCACTTCCAAGCCAACATTTAAGAAACCAAAATACTGAGTCACTGGGCAACTCTTTATACAACTTCTTGAGCAGATTTGATACAGCATCAGTTTCACTTCCAGCATTCATCTCCTAAAAAATGCGTGCAATTAATGGGAGTGAAGCTATATGTTTCGAATATTCTTCCAGTGATCAATGGAAAATATCCATTAAACCAAATATCATTCTTTCCTGAATGCAAATGCTGCTATGATATAATGCTTGAACTTAACTATTGTCCCAATCAGACTGAGTTTTGACTGGAACAATCACTTTTCATGATCTTATCAAACCACACAGGTCAGATGGATAGCAGTAGGACGGACGATTCCGGAATGCCCGAGTAGCAGAGATACGTCAAAACAAATCAACTAAATAAAGACTTTCTTAAATCTTTCTAAAGAGGTTATTTAGATTTATGCGGATGGCTTGAACGGCAGAAACCAATGCGTCATCTGAGTAGCTACGACTGATTTTGAAAATCATGTCAAAATCATCAATGATGACATAATATCAATTCAGCATTGCTTACATAATATACTCACAGATGTAGAGGACAAAACAATGCTCAACTTTGCTTATGGTAGTTACGTTCCCCAACCATTATTTACGTAATTTTCTAAATATATTTTCCCTCTCCGGATGTTAAAAGTCTGGCCCTGAATTGTTCATTCCCATAGGACTAACTACCAAGTTATTACTCAAATACTACGTGAATGACCCAGTCAACCCAGAAAAGGTCCTTTGTTTATAGATAATGAAGATAAACTTTTGACCCACTATTCAATGAAACAATCAGAACGTTTTTTTTATAAGTTTTGGTTTACTATCACATAATTCATCACATAGCACATTGTAGAGTTATATATAGGCATCATTAGGTCTTCGACAAGTGTCTAGTGTATTATGAAGCCAGATTTTCCTCATCAACGGGCTCCATCAGCTTTACTCATTGATAAAGTACATTACTTACGTTACCCCTCGTGGAGGAGCATAGGACACACCAGCAGACAACGTATATAAGAAAGAATTATTCATAAGTTTCGCAAGAGGTGATTTAAGTGCTAGTAAAAGGACAGACAGGAAACAGACTTATTGTGTTTTTCGTAGCAAACTTAAATAGGCATGACTACAAAAAAAGTATTCCAGACCCTACTACAATAACTCAATTAAACTTTTGAGGCTGAAAGCCAAGAGAACGCATTGTATGATGAACAGCTGTTTCACTCAGATCCATAGGAATTGGAGGAGCTACTTTCCACACACTTTAGTTCTTACAACAAGGCATTTTTATGGCATTCCCAATCAACACAAACAATGACAAATCAAATATTGAATAGAGAATGACCTCTCCTAAGCTGGAAATTTCTAAACCATACAGACTATGCTAGGTAATAACTACTGAGTGCAAAAGGTGATAACAGCTTACTAAAGATAAATACCACAATACCATCCATCGATATGGTTAGGTTGTATTCATCAATTGAAGCACACATCCGTAAATCAGTTATCTTAATCACAGCTAAATTATAGGTCGCGAACTTTAATAATAAGCTCTATTTCAGATTGACAGGATTTTGTGTAATTTCAAAGTAGTAGTAGCATATTTTAGAGTCGGGATTGAGGTCACTAACAAATCCCGTCCAAGAGGTAAAAAAGAAATGCCTAATATTGTGAGCCACTTAAGAATGATAAAAAAATCACAATCAGCACACAGAAAAAATTGTGACCAAAAAGGTTCAAACTATTCATTACAGGGTTGAGTACATAAATGTATCCTAGAAGAATAGGGACGATAAGAATGGTGCCTTTCAGACCCAGCAGTAAAAGTAGACTACAATATAAAAGAGAACCCCTAATTATGTAACAAAGACTCGTTAATAATTTCAGAAACAATACGTAAATGAACCTCACATATCACCTGTTGGTAAAAAAAGCATCTACACGTGCAGATAACAAACGCTCACCCCGATTTTTAATGCTATGAGACTCCAATCACTTTGGCTCTGGCCGCTGTTACATGCCATGCGGCGGTTTTCTTCCCGATTGCGTTCACGCATTGATGAAACACCCCTAAACCACAAAGGAGCGATGCGCTTGCAGCGTCCAATTAAGGCCCGAACAAACAATGCTTCACTAGGCTTGGCAGCCGCATGTACAGGGAACTTATGTGAGCATTCGCTTGGGAGATTCGGGACCTGAAATTCTGAATTGAGGGAGGGTAGAGACGATTGCGCGGAAAAAACATTTGATGACTCCTCGACACAATGGACAGACAAAGGCTTTGTGTTTGAGTCCGTAGAACTAGAAAGTGAATTGTGATTGCTTTTATCTGATTCTGAATAAAATTCAGCTTTTGTTTGGGATGACAAACATACTGTTGTCGAAGTATCCAATTTATCGGAGTCATTGAGCGAAAAACCAACTGAAGGTATACGAATCGAGTTTGAGTTTGGAAAGGAATCATCTTGGAGAACAGTACATGAAGGACTCAACTGATTATCACCGGGATTGTGAACAGAAAGAGGATATAACACTCCAGTGGACAGATTACTAAACAATGGTTCAGGTTTCACATTTATATTATTAGACTCCATGCAGTTTATAAATTAGAAATCCCATCCATGCCAGCAGTATGACCACTAAAACATCAACGTGAAGACCGGGCCCGAAAAACGTTTGTTCAAAATTGCACACAGCCTAAAGTTTCATACGCGCTCTCTACCACTAAAACCCCTGTTGTTCAAAATACATTTACTTACGCCAAAAATCTGTAATTATACTAAAATCTTATATTAAATTCTTGTCGCCTTCGGTTAAGTGATAATGTACTAAGATGTGCTTTCCCGCGGTGTATTCAGATATACACGCAACGTTACTTAGTGTATGGATTCACTCCAAGTACAATTTCCTAACAATCCTACAGATGTGCACGGGGATTGTAGAAACCATACTATGACCCCAATTTGCACAGGGACTTCTGTTATTGGGATTAAATATAGAGATGGAGTTGTTCTAGCTGCTGATATGTTAGTTTCATATGGCTCCCTAGCCAAATATATGGATTTCGAACGCATGTTTAAGGTAAGCAAGGTTTTCTCCAAAACTAACTTCACTAGGTAAATCAGAGCACAATTATGTGCTGTAGTGGTGATATGGCTGACTTTCAATTTCTCAAACATCACATTGAAGAGCTGACACATCAAGACAGTCTACTTTCCGACGGCTTTAAACTGAGGTTTGTATCTTGGCTAATTTGGTTATTTTTGCTTTCAGCCCTCATGCTCTCCATAGCTGGATTACACGTGTCCTATATAACCGTCGAAGTCGTTTGCAGCCACTGTGGAACACCTATTTGGTCGGAGGTTTGGAAGCAAATGGCGAGCCCTTCATTGGGTATTGTAGTATGCTTGGTGTTTGTGAGTCACGTTCCATATAAACATAGTTTAATTTTGAACCATCTGAGTATCTCGATTTTTTCCCACTCCAATGCCCTATCTGTTTTCCCTGTTCCAACAATGGATGTGACATCACATCCACCAAATTGCCATAGTAAATAAGGCCGACCGTAATACTATTTGATCAGAAATGTAAAACCGGTTAGGCACTGTCTTAGGACATCCGACATACCATGCTATCCTTTTGTTCAATCAATGAAAGGCTAGTATAGAATAATCTCAAAGACATCGGATTTCACCTTTAGCGAGACCATCATTTTTAAATGACTTGAGTAAGCCCAGTTGTCACTCAAATATCTCTTAAACTCCAACTTTTTCAGCCCTAAGTCTTGAGTAATCTACAATGTTCTACGTCCTAGGCAGCCTGGTAATGTTATTATCCTGCACATCTAATAACACCAGTGGTAAAGTATGTCTTCAATGCTCAGTTCAGGGCAAACGAGCCTCCTAATAGCCGTCTTAACGCCTCACAACTAGCGTCCATGTAGGTCTCTTCTTGCATATGCTCCCGGACTTTTTACACATATATAGAATAAATATTGTCTATGTTCTGAATATCAGACATTTTTGGGTTACTTACTGTGTCACAACTTTCAAATTGAATAGCATAAAGACATAATATTATAACGACAATTATCAAGAGTTGTAGCTTGTCGAAAATTATATCTTGTCCCTAGTATAACAAGTATTCGATACTAATGACCTGTTACGTTTAATTCACTGGACTCATAATGTTTGTATTGGTCAACTATTTACAGTTGCGTCACAAGCCTATAGTAACATTCTCATTACTTTGATTCTCAGTCTCCTAGACCTTACCTTTTTAGTCAACCCTTATCATCTTTGTAGCATTCACCGAAAATTATGTTGCGACTGGCTTCGGTGCATACCTTGCAATGCCTATTCTAAGAGAATGTTTGGAAATAAAAGCAGGGGGTGATCCAAACAATATAACGGAAGAAGATGCTATCTCAACAATAACAAGTGCAATGAAGCAATTATACTTTCGAGATTGCCGGTAAATATCTCAAGTTTTTTTTCAGATTATCTCAATTTCATTTAAGTCAAATTAATTTTTGAAATGTATTATTTAGTAAGTAAAGAGTTTTGAATGTGCAAGATGCTGGCTAGAAGCTGATTCCTAATCAACCATCAATTCACAGGTTCTTAATATTGTGACAAAAACTACACTTTGTTTTGGGCATTTACTAGGGTATCGATGAACATACTTAACTGATTAGACTCTAAGAAGTGCTTTTACAGGACTGGAAGGGGGTTATACCCACACTCACTCTTAGTCAATCAGTTATGCTCAACATAGAACCTAGCACTTTTACATTAGTTCGAGTTTCCATACTCTGTTACAACAACGAGATGAAATTTCCAGGGCGAATCCCAAAATAGTAGAATTACTAACAGTATTTGTGATGCTTAAAAAGACTAGTCTCCAATGAATTGCTGACATTCAGTGGCAACACCATGTTAGTAATGCAGAGGTACGTCAGCTTGTGTCCAGACACATTGACGGTGGTTCAATTAGTGTCATCATCTTTAAGCACCGTCGTCGGTGACCTGAACATGAACTACGAATATCATATCAATGAATTTCACATGGTGCATTATTTGCCAACGTTAGGACTGGTTGGGAAAAGCTGAAATGTAATCAGTTTATGACATAGTGCCATAGTATAATACAACACTGTACAGGACTGACATCTGTCGGATCTTCATGACTCTTTCTGTGGTCCGAGGAGTGGCGCAACTCAGTGGTTTGAAATATTATCAGATATGACTCGAAGTTAGGACTTTCTCACTGAAAGGATTCGCTTGGGTTGCATTTTACTCAGCCTCTTTCCTTTATCTCCTCACAACCTCATTTTCTTGTTTGCACAGTGCACATTTTATTTTGGTGTTTATTTGTACTATTATATCAGTTTTAAATGAGCAAATAAAGTCTCCCAAGTTGAAGATTGTTCTACTCTTAACAAAGTAGTAGAATTAATACTGGGGCCTTAACCACCTTTTCTTTCGGTAATTAAAAGTGACACCAGTCCATGAAGTCATTAACAATTGGACTGACATCCATATTGATGAGTATGGACTACCTGGTTGGGGTCCGCGTGATTATTGTAACCAAATTTGTGCGACTTTGGATGAATTAGCTCAAAAGCGTTAAAAGCAGCACAGGCTCATTCACTCTTTATCTTCTACTAAAAACTGACGTTCTGTCATCATACTCATCATAATCTCTTCTGTTTCTACTGATACTGTTACATCTACCATTCTGGGAGTTTTTGCCGTGCTAATGTAGTAGTATTACGACCTGAACTGACAGTCATACATAACAGGTTCTACGTTGCTTATGTAAAAAGTCTGATATTGTTCACATATAATTTGACCATCGTGTCACTGTTTAGTTTTTCTTGTTTCTTTCTTGGAAATTAACAGTGCATTCGATACGTATCAAATGGCTGTCGTCAATAAAGAAGGAATACAAATAAGTGGCCCATTACGCCTGAAATGTGATTGGTCTATTGCTGAATATGTAAAAGGATATGATTAAAAGATATTTTGTTTTAAAGCTTCTTTTTATGGGAAATAAATTTTTTGATAGGAAAAATATTTTTCAGCCGATAACTTTTGTTTCACAACCTACATCAATCCGTATTTGATGTTATCATTATTGTTAAGTTTTTAAGTGTTCGATATCTTACTTACGCCTGTTTCTCTTAATGGAACATAGGCCGCTGACCAGCATTCTCCAACCCACTCTGTCCTGGGACTTCTTTTCTAGTTCTGTCCAATTGTTGTTCATTCTTCTCCATTTCTCGACATAATGTGTTCTTTGTTCTTTCTCTCCTCCTTTGGCCTTAAGGAGTTGTTTGGATATATTAACTTATGAATAAATGGTCAGTCAGATGCGAGCAATATTTCTAAGGCATCTGTGATCAAATACTAGTAGCTTACAAGTGTCTTCTACTCTAAAAGGCCATGTTTCGCTGCCGTAAAGTAAAACAGAACGGACTGTCGTCCTTTTATTGATAGACGGATATCTCGCTTTCGCCATAAGTGACGTAAGTTGGTAAAAGCCAAACGAGCTTTTCGAATCCATGCTGAGATTTCGTCAGACACCAACCCATTAGGGCTGATCAGACTTCCACGATAAGTGTTGTCAACGCGTTCGACTACTTCACTCCCTATCCTTAGTCCAGGTGTTGACGCAGACCAGTCCTGAAGCAACAACTTGCATTTCGAGGGGGGGAAACGCATCCCAAACATCCTGGCATTGTTGCTCAGTGCTATCAAAAGACTCTGCATTTTATCAGCGTCTTCACCAAACAGAACATGTCATCAGCGTATTCTAAGTCGATAAGTGGACCTCCTGGAAAAAGATCAATACCCGAGAATCCAGTCGACGAGAACGTTATTGCCATCAGTAGATCTATGATGAAGTTTTAAAAAAATGGAGGAAGTGGATAGCCTTGACTTATACTACTTGAGGTTTCAAAAGCAGATGACAGTTCGCCGTAAGTTCTGACTCGACTGGTAGTGTTCGAGTAAAGAGCCTTCACAAGGTTTATGTACTTTTGAGTTAGGCCTTTCAATGACAGGCACTGCCATTGAATAATTGGTGACCTTAATGACTATACTTATCATCAACCGTTATATAATTTTAAGATTATCTATTTTGATTCGAATTCTTACCATTATTGAATAAGTTTTAGTTTACTCATTTTATCGATAATAAATTAAGAAATATATTACTTTGAGATTAAAAATATTCATATGAACAGCTAGTCACAGCACAAAATGTAACGTATTTTAGTTATACTCTGAATTCCTTAGTCTTATATTTGTTTATAAGATTACTGAACTTTAGTAAATATTATGGTGAGACTATCATTTATAAATAATCTTTGAATGATTTCAAATTTACCTTCAATCATATTTTAGGTAGAAACAAGATTATGACTTAGGATGAGGCATTCGGATTAAGAGTTATAGTTTTCACCACGAATTGACGTCACTTATTATTGTCAAAATGCTATATGACCATGTGAGTAAATGAATTTTACATAAGAACTCTAAAGTTACTATCCATAAATTATAGCTCAACCGCTGAATGGTTTAGTCGTGAA